GTCCCAACTTCCACGCAGTAACCTAGCCTGATGTTCCATGCCTGGGACGAAGGGAGTACGGAGAGGCGGCCTGCTATGGACATTCTGGGTTGGCCTGTGGCACCCCCAGCCTCGTCTATTGTGCCAAGATCTGCCCACCAAGCATCACCGGGGTGGGTCAGATCTGTGTACCTGAGGTGGCCAATGGGCTCACCTTGCCAGCCGGTTCCCTGAGGGATACCTGCCACTAGGTAGGGGCATCTCTGGACCCCGAAGGGCCTGCCTAATGCCATGCCGAATCTCCCCCCAGTTCCCCTGAACTGGGCCCCAATCTTCCTTGCAGAGCGGCCTAGTTGTGGCCCGCCTGCAGTATCTGCAAAACAATTTGAAGCAACAGATTGACCTCCACTTCTAGGGCAGGTCCTTCACCCCCTTTTCTTAGGCGGGTGGTATCGGCTTGTTTCTTGGGGCCCTGCCCTCTTTTGGGCTTAGTCACCTGTCTGCTCCTTTTTCTGCTCCTTTCTGGTCGATTGAGGGGTCGTGGCACACGGGAACAGGTCCTGGCACACTGGAACTCGTCCAGTACCGGTGCTCTGGCACCTTAATATACTGTGGGCTTGGGCTGACTGGACCTCGCATGTTTGGCTGCGCGTTGAGCGCCTGGCGCGGCTCCTTCGGGTGCTGGCCACCTGCTGGTCACTCCCTTGGATGGCTCTCGCTGGCTCTCTCCGCGCACCGGGTCGAATGGCCCCGCAAAATCTCTAATCGGGGCGCGGGTTCAATGGCCGCGGATCTCCCCGGCGATTCAGCCCCCGGATCGGGCTGATCGCCACCGCGGCCGATGTTGGAGGGGCTGGCTCTAGCGCGGCAATCCGTGGCGAATGATGCTGCGTCTCTTCGCTCACTCTTGCCGCCGCGTCCTGCTTGGCTCCCGGCTTTGGCTCCACTCCAAAACCAGTTGTCGCGGCCCGCGGGCGGCCGCTGGTTTCCGGAGTGCTGGGGGCGGTCGCCGCACCCAATGGCACGGCCTCGATGCCGCGCCTCTCCGCCGGATTCCGGCGGGCGTTGCCGGGGTGCTCGTTTGTTCGGTAGCGCGGTGGGCCCTTGGACGCTTGGGGACCTTCCCCGAAGCCTGCCGTGTGCAGGCGGTGGAGTCGCGGCGGCATTCGGCGGTTCGCTGCCTTGCGGCGGGGCAGAGAGGGGCCCGGATTTGCGATTACAGTCTGACACACGCGATGCGCGCATCCATGTACCTGCGCGATGCCCGGTCGCGGGTCCATCACATCACATCAGACATGACAGGTCAGTGTAATGTACAGACCGTGTCCCAGCGCCCCTCATCACCTATAATCAAACTAATCTAGCTCTAATCCTGACCATCCCCACCCAACACCCGGCCTCTAAGTACTGTGTCTTCACGAGGCCGTATCTTCCTCAATACTCCACATAATTGAGTGCTGAAAGATGCATTGGAACCAGGAAGTCATAATTAAACCATAGAAGGATGACTCAGCGAGATTACATAATGCAGCTGCAGAAAACATCATTTACTGCCTGCCCCCAAGTAGCTCCACAACAGATGCCAAGTGGCAAGTTGCAGCCACTAGAGATCCCAACACAAAAGTGGGATCAAGTTGTTATTGATTTTGTGACGAACTTACCAAAAGATGGTGTACACAACGTTGTGCTTACAATCGTTGACAAAGCCACCAAGATGGCATGTTTTCTGCCTTGTAGTAAGTCGATTACTGGAAAGGAAACAGTGCAACTGTTTTGGAATTCTGTGGGGTGCATCCATGGAATCCCCTCTACAATTATTTCAGATCGAGACGTCTGTTTTACATGATCTTTCTAGCGGGAGCTGTGGCGTATTTTAGGAACTAGTTTGTGAATGGGGACTGCCTATCATCCCCAAAGTTCAGGACAAGTTGAGCGATATAACCAGGTCCTCAGTCAGCTCCTCAGGTGTACGATTCATCAGGTGGGCGATGGTGCTCACTGGACCCAACTCATCCCGACGATTCAGTTCGTGGCGAACACGGCTCCTAACCGTTCTACAAGGTATACTCCATTCTTTCTGAAATTTGGTAGACATCCGACGACTCCTGTTCAGTTATTGGATCACCAGCCGATCAGAACGAAGACAGAAGCCGTCTCCGCATTTGTTCAACGCCTCAAAGATGAGTTTGCGAAGGCCCAGGTCAATATGAAGCAAGCAGCTGACCGGATGAAGTCCATCACCGATCGACGACGACGTGATGTTGTTTTTGCTACAGGGGCATGGGTGCTACTCAGCACCAAACATCTTAAGCCGGAAGGATCAGTTGCAGCGCTATTTTGTTGGCCCGTTCAAAATTTTAGAGCGGATTGGCACCGTGCCTACCGTCTTGAGCTACCTGCTTCCTGGTCAATCCATCCCGTCTTCCATGTTTCACTCCTCAAGGACTACCGATCATCACACCTTCATCCTGCTGCCGATCGCCTTCCCCTCTTGGTCCCTGCTAAAAATGTTGAACGCGTTGTCTTCGACATAGAGCGTGTACTTCGCTGGCGCTGGAGTCCCGGTCATCAATAAAAGAAGGAATACCTTGTGTTGTGGAGCGGCTATCCCATTGACGAAGCCACGTGGGAGCCGGCGTCCAACTTTTCCAGTCCTGGAGTTCTTCGTGGACTACTCAAACGTGACAAGCCCTCTGAAGCTTGTTGATAGTTCTCCGTCGCTGTTCGCCCCACTTCCTTTTTCTCAATTCGAGGACGAATTTCCTTCCCCAGGGGGAGTGGTTTGTGGTAATGACCCATTGGTTTTCTTGTTTTGCTGAGCGGAGCTCGGCCCGTCGCCAAAGTTGTGGAGGCCGTATGCAGAGCAAAGCGGAGCAGGCCGGAACGACTTCGGCGTAAGGGCCGAGCGTAGTGAGGCTTTTAGCCGAAAAACGGGTTTGGCCAAAATGGAGACACTTAATGAAAACAATGACTTTGATGATTTTGGCCGCCACGTGTAAAAGCGCCAGGCGGCGGCGCCGATTGTAGTTCGATCGTTCTGGAACACACTGCCTCCCTGCCTCTTCGAGCGCAGCCGCCACACGCCTCGGATGGGACCGCACAGAGCGGCCGTCACCCACGGGCCAGAGAGAGCCCTGGACACGCCGTCCGGCCGAGGACGACCACGCTTCCACCAGAGAGGCCCTAGAGCGTGGGCCAGGGTACCTGGATGCAGCCAAGGGTGGACCACGCTGACAGGGACATCAGCTTATAGGATCGAATCTAGACTGAAGTGATGTGATGAAGCGGCTGGCAACACAGTCAGCATGTATGTTTTCTCCACAACAATATTTCAACAGTGGGTGACTGATGAATAAATGAACACATGCAACCTTAGCATGGGGTAGTCCACCATGGAAAGAGCCATCAGGTGTGGGCCCAAGCTTTCAGCTATGCATGGTTCCTTTTTAGCCTTTTTCAGGCCAGCAACCTCTTAGCCAAGAGCAAGTGGCTTTGAGGCTGGATACACGCCCACACTGGGTAGTGTCCTTATTCAGGATACATAGCCCCACCAGATATTGAGAGCCGCAGTCAATACTAATGAGGCAACATTCATTGAAGTACTCTTGCTGTGTAGGGTGTCGCTCAATCGTCACCAAGCTCCCCTCGAGGCCAAGCTCCTCTCAACTTTCATGACCAGCTTGCTATATTTCCAAAAACGCAAGCACTTGACCAATTTTTGTTCTTGTTTTTCTTTTCTTTTTTTCTAGCCGGTGGTGGCATACTCGGGCTATACCACATAATTAGCTTGCGTGTCAAATATGAGTCCCTCGCCAGTTGAACCATAAGTGACTCACCCAGTGAAACGGTGGTCATTATGCAGCTGCGCGAACAAGGGACTACCATTTTTGATTCAACCTTTCCGCATCGGTCCATCCCAATTGTTAGGTTTTTGCTCCGCATTTTTGTCCCGGACCATTATGTTATTTTCTTTTTTGCTCCGCATCATGTCAGGCGGGCTTTGAGGGGCCTCGAGAGGTTGTATCCCAAGTTTCAAGTGCAACGGACCAGTTCCAAGCCTCGTACATGCGTGCACTGTGCGACACCAACAACCCAACTCTGGGGATCGCTCGCGCCCCCCGCGAAGCTGGTCAGCGAAGCCGGGTCCCTTGCCGCGAACTTGTGCCCGCTGAATAACACCCCCGACCCCCCTTGCCTCACCCGCCCAGTGGCGGCCCCCCCGGCCGGGCGTTGGTCAACGCGCGCGCGCGCCCGCCGACCGCCCCCCACCCCCCGCCCATGGGATTCCATGCCATGTTGGCACCTTCAGCGTCAAGGCCCACTCTCCCCGCCGCCCCGATGGCAAGTAGCACGCGCCTGCCTGTCTGCTGATCTGTCGCCCATGAGCCTGCCGGGTGGCGGGGAGCGCCGACAGGATGGCGCAAGGCCGGTCGGGCGGCCCACCGTGGGCCTTCGCACGTCCAATCGGCGGCGGGCCGGGTGAAGAGATCGGCTGCCTGGGTCGATCCGTGGTGGCGCAGGCATATGCCTGCGACCGCTTCCCGCTGTTCGAGGACCGACCCATCCGGGAGGCAAGCGGTGAGCGCCGGCCTGCCTGCCGATCGACCGCCCAGTGGCCTGCCAGGTGGCGGTGCCAAGCCCGTTCCGAAGCCGCGCCCCGGCCGTTACTAAATTTGACTGCTCCGCATCTCGCTTCGGCACCGTTACTTTTTTACTCATCGACTCCGCGAAAAAGGGCCCAGCGTTACGTTACTGTGCGGAAGGGTTTAAAAACGATTAGTAACATATTCTCAACAGCGTCGCGCACACGTCATCCCTTCTGTGTTGTCCACAACATCATCCTGTTCACACCAGGGACACCACAAAGGCAGGAAGAAGCTATTCGCACCCGTGCATGGACAGCGGCAGTGCTTTGCGTCGCTTGGGGGAACTTGTCTCAGCAGTTGGACACGCGGGTTCATCATGGGCCTTTGTGTATTTGAGCACCCGCACGTCCCTACTTCACTTCGCGTTTCTCCAGCATGGACCTCGGTCTCTACCTGGAGCGTTTTCGGCGCGTCAGGACACACGAAGACAAGGAGGCGCTGTGCCGCGACGTGGAGGAGGCCGACAACACCTATCGCAAACTGTTCTCTCAGCAGCGGGAGTCGTGGGTAGTGCCAGAATTGTCAAGCCCGTGCCATTCGCTGATACCCGTGCACCGGCATGCCGATGTGTTTGGGTGCATGTCGCCTTCCCCCGAGGAAGTGGAGGTTCCAAAAGTGTTCCCTCTGGGAGAGCAAAGGAAGCCGGCCGGCGCGAGTTCCATCGTCTCGCAAGCAGATATGGAGCGCAACTTTTCGGATCTGTTCACCGAGGGCATGCTGAAGTTCATGGATTGGCGGAACGTCATTGCCGCGGGTGGTTCGGTGCTGGCATGCCTGCAGCCCATACCCGCGCAGTATGATCAGAGTAACAGGAAGCGCAGGGAATACATGCATGACGTGGGCTTCCCTGCCTCGGACGTGGACCTGTTCTTGTACGGGTTGGACGCGGAAGGCGCCAAGAAGAAGATTGTGGAGATCTACGAGGCTGTCTGTGAAGCCAACCCATTTGACGTCCTGTGCTTTCGATCGGCACACACAGTACGCCACTATGAAGCTTGACTTGCGTTGCGTCGAGTAGCACAGTTTGTCGCGCCAACGTGCTCAGTCCAAGAGCACGCTGTGTGACAGGCCTGGCAGTGGGTGGAAGAACGGAAATGCTTGTCGCCACTTGCAACTGTTTCAACGGACTGCAGCTATCGTCTCTGTTTGTGTCAGGCCAATTCAGTCATGTTTGTTGAATGCTCGCTGACAACGGTTTTATATGTTTTCCTCTCCAGGTGACGATAGTCAGCGAGTATCCTTTCCGACATGTGCAGATCGTTCTGCGTTTGTATTCAAGCCCTTTGGAGGTATTGGCTGGCTTCGATGTGGATTCATGTGCAGTGGGGTATGATGGGAAGGACGTTTGGGCGACCCAAAGGTGCCACATGGCACTTGTCAGCCAGAGAAACAGGGTTGATTTGAGCAGAAGGAGTCCCACCTATGAGATGAGGCTGGCGAAGTATGCAGCACGGGGTTTTGAGGTGCCAGTTCCGGGCTTACAGAGGGACAGGATTGACCCTACGTTGTTTGAGCGAAGGTGGAATTCGGTGAAGGGCCTTGCTAAGCTGCTGCTGCTGGAAAGACTGCGAACACCAGAGTCACGATTCAGGTGCACGTTAAGCGTTTTTGATGCTGCTGCTCGAGCGTCATTTGCCAAGCAGGTTCCTTGGAGTGATAGCCATTGCAGCACGTGGTTCTGCATTGATATTTCATTGTCTGCTAGTGAAACTGCAGTACTTTTCCAACAGGCAGTGTGATCATTATTGAACCTTCTGTGGCGCCCCAACAGATACAAGGAGCTCCATAGGTCACGACAGATGAAACCTTTTGGGACAACATCCTTTCAGCAGAGATTTGGATTCAGCAGGATGATCCACAACAAATGGGTGGCCCCAAGGATGGAGACTCTGCATGGGGGTGCAGATGCAAGCGACTATTCAACTGTGTTCCTGGTAAGCGGCCAAGTATCGCATCCTTTCCTCTCTGTTGCGATAGTCCCTAACTGTCGATTCTTTATTCTCAAGAGGTATTCATCGGGATTTGGCATTCACAGTCCTTGCCCTTGTTGTACAGCAAGGTGAAAGGTTCTTTGAGAGAACAATTGCTGGCCTCTGGTCAAATGAGGATCAGAGTTAGTTGGTGGGAGGCTGCAATGTAACTCAAGAATGATAAATTGAGCTGTCTGAAGAAAACCACAATGACCTGCGTCAGCATCTAGTAACTGAGAACACGATGCCATGGTGCTAAGCACTTTCTGGCTTATATGCGCAGTTTGCTGAATCCTGGACTGAGGCAGGTGAGAATTTGCTTGAAGTGAAGCCTATGCAGATTTTGCAGCCTAATGTGAAATACCCACTGGTGACTGCGCACTTGGATTTATGGCTTGAAAGCCGCATTTGAAACAGATGATGATGGTGCAGTGGGAACAGCACTGTGCCAATGCCTTCCATTGTGCGAAGAGGGCACGAGCTGATGACTGAATTGTCAATTGCACAAGCAACGTTGCTCCAACCGCATAAGCTGCAATGTGTACCACTCTCAGAAGCACTGGGAAGCTGAAGCACAGGATTGATAGAGTAGACGCACAGCTCTGTCAAGTGTTTTCTTGTGTTTGTGTTTGTGATCTTGAAAGTCAGCAGTTTGCTTGACACTGGATGAGTTCTTTGTAATGTGTCGCTTTCTATGCCATAACACATTGGCATGATTGTCTGCAGCTTGGTGGTGGCTGGGCACTTTTGGACATTATTTGTGCTGACTCAGAACTGTGTGTATCAGCCATGGGGAAGAGGGTACAATGCCAAGAAATGTGCCAGGCTCATGCGGATCAAGGAGAAAGTGTTGAACAATCCCTATGCCAACAAGAACAGGAAGATCGACAAAGCAATAAAGCTCCACCCCTGCTTCATAGGGAGTGCAGAGGAGGTCATTCAAGACTGTTGCCCTGATGACCCTCCCATCCCAAAGGACACCGACTTTGCTGAACTTGAAGCATATGTTCGGGGGCCTATTTCGTTCATTGAAGATAATCCAGGCCGGCAGATGATTGGGTCGTTTCACCCCATGGAGGCTGATGGTTGGTTGGATGGAGCTTACATAACAGGGGACATGGAGACCCTGTGTGTGGCTGCCAATGCCAATGACCTGGCAACTACTAAGAGGCTTGTGGAGGGTGGCACTGTGCCGATCAACTGTGCCGATTATGCAGGGAGGACGCCTCTGCAGCTTGCTGCCTTTGCTGGTTCCTATGATGTGGCAGCCTATCTGATCGATGAGGGAGCATCGATCCTGAGGAGGATGGGCGATGGTCGAAACCCGCTGCACATAGCATCTGCCTATGGGCACACTGAAATAGTCAAGCTGCTGATTAGTAAGAGCAAGAGCAATCAAGAGGCCATGCACGCTGCTGAAGATTCTGGCACCATGGTTGAGGGTGGTGATGAAATGGAGCTAGAAGTGTTGGATCTCGACACTGAGGATTGGGCTCGCAGGCTCACTGCACTCCAGCTCGCCATAATGTTTGGCCGGGATGCGGCTGTGGACGTGCTTTTGAATGCTGGAGCCAGCCCAAACAAAAACTGGCCTCTTTATCAGGTTGGCACTGATAACTACTTGGGTGGCCAGAAGACTGTATCCAACATCATGCTGGCATCGGGCTTGTGCGATTGGGCGCCTGACATCTCCAAGAAGATCCTTGCTTTGCTTGTGCAGCATGGGTGCAAATGCAAACAGCTGGATAGCGACCTCCAGAGTCCCCTCCATTGGGCTGCCCTTGAAGGCAATTCGACCCTCATATCTCAGCTGCTGGAGGTCGCTCCTGGGCTGAAAGAGGACAGCCTTGAAGTGCTGTCTCTGGACAAACAAACCCCATTGATGTGTGCCATTCAGCAAAATCATGTGCTGTGCGTCAAGGAGTTGCTTGAAGCAGGAGCAAGAGTCAATGTAGATTCCAGTTTGAGTGTGGAGTGTGATCTCTTAAGGGAGCGGACCAGTGCACTGCAGACCACTGACTGGAATACCAGAGGGAAGTTGAGAACAATAGCAGATCTGCAGTGGGCACATATTACCCCTCCCCTGTGGCTTGCGGTGCGCAAAGTTTGGGAAACAGGTGAAAGTGTGGCAGAGGTGCTCAAGGAGCTGGCAGAAGAAGAGCAGAAGGCTGCTGAGGGGGGGCGCTCCAAGCCCACCAATTTGGAAAGAAGAGATCCTTTTGCCATCGTCAAACTGCTCTTGAAGTACAGTGCAGATCCCAATGTGCTACTGAACGATGTGCCGCCAGGGGCATCACGTCAAGATGCCCCGGTGCCCCTCACAGTGGTTGACTATGTGAACTATCTGGTAATAGCAGTCAACAAGCAGATTGAAGATTGGGATGGCTTTGCACAGCCTGGTCATAACTCTGAGAAATGGTATCTGATGCCACAAACGAGTGGTGTGGTCTCAAACACGAAGACAGCACTGGCAGAATTGGACGGCATTGTTGTGGAAGCTGCCACTGGCCTGCCCATCAACTTCAAGAGCAGATGCAACGAACGACGGTATCTGGAAGAGAAGTTGGTGCCAGAGAGGTCATACCTCTGGCCCAATGTGGAAGCCAGTGCGGTCGACAAGGATCTTAGTGACATTATGGAGGCTGCTCGGACTGTGAGGGATCGCAAATCCAACAGGTCTTCCAAATCAGAACTGTCTCTGCCAAGCCAGCTGTCTGAGCTTCAAGAACTGCTGAATGTCTTCAAGGCGTTGCTGGACATCCTGGCTGCTTCTGGGGGAAGAAGCAGCAAGCATCTGAAGTCTGAGACACAATCATCCAGCAAGGAAGACCAAGAGGACTCGGATGATGAGTCTGTATCATCTATGGAGAAGCGCAGCTCAAAAAAGTCCAACAAGCAACAGAAGCCCACACAGTTGGCTTTGGAGGATCTGACCCAAGGCTACAAGACGATACCGCCCATGTTGGAAGATCGAGTAGGCAACACTACTGGTTTGCCCTCACTGCTGCCAGCAAGGCTGCAGCCAATGTGCCATGAGCTTTTTGAGGCTGCTTGGAGTGGGGACATACATCGCATCGAGCAGCTCACAGTACAGGCTTCACCTTCAGAACAACTACCTGTTGCAAGTCAGAACTCCTACCAGCAGACACCTTTGCTCTTGGCTCTGCTGAATGGGCACCTGAAGTGTGCAAAGCGGATCATGGAGATCTGTGCAGACCAGTACACTGTTCCAAGCATTCCTAAGCTGCCTCAAACGCGCGACATTGGGAAGTTGAACAATCTTGCATTGGAAGCGTATGCAGGTACTTGCAGCTTTTTTCATAGTGCTCAGCACAGGTTGCCATAGCTTAAAAGTTTGCTGTGCACATTTGTGGAAGGATGGCACACTGAAATGCAGTTGTTTGAATACACTGACTATCAGTTGCAAGCACTTGTTTGGCCAGGTTGAATTCAATGGTGGAAACATGGGTTTGCAGTGTCCCTGTCGGTAGCATGGGTGGTAAAATTACACCAACAACCAGTCAACATGGCTTTTGCTGTCTGTTTTGACAGAAGGACTGGACGAGGTCGAGCAAATGGCATTGGATAAGGTTCACAGTGGTGATAATGTCACTGAAAGCCTGTCTGTTTTGACAGAAGAACAGGACGGGAGTGAAGAAATGTCATTGGATGACATAGAAGGTGGTGATATTATTGACGATATCAATGAAGAAGCTGCTGCTGCTTCTCGAGCTGCTATTGCTGCTGCCCAGGCTGAGGAGGGCATCAGCACAACTGTGAAGACTGGGTTTGTGTGTCACACCTGCCCAGAGGCGCTTCTGAAGCACACGAGCGCAGTCCCCGCAGCTCTTTTCAAGGCCACACTGCCAAGTTCCTTGTGCTTTGACCTTGCAGCTACCTTTCGCCTGGTGTGGAAGCTGCTGACTGAAGGGACAGCATCTGCAGCTCATACTCTTCAAAAGAAGTGTGGTCTTGCACTGAGAACGTCATGGCGAACCAAGTATTGGGAGCAACGTCATGGTCAGCCGGCAAGCTTCGTTTCTGTATCACCGCTGGAGTGTGGAATCCTTGCTGGACGCAAGGACGTCGTGGAGACCGTGCTTGACTGCTGTGAGGAATGGAATAGGCTATGGAGGCAGCAAGCTGCTGAACGATGCTTTTCAGACAATAAGGCTACTGAAATGCCACATCCTGCAGATGCTGCAGATGGTTCAGGCAACGTCATGAATGGGCATCACAGTTCGGGCAGGATGCCCCTTGCTGTGAACATTGTGAGGTCTCTTTCCTTGGATCCACTGATTGTGATGGATGGTGTGGAGATTTTGTCAGTTCTTGTGGAGAGGACAGGGACTGCAGTTGGTTGGAACGACTCAGCTTTCGTCAGGGAGTTATGGAAGAAAGGTTTGATGCAGAATGAAACGTTGCTACACAGGGCAGCATTCTTTGGAGCAGAGAGGATAATGAAGTGGATACTGAATGGAGGTGGAGAGGCTGCATTCAGGGTGTTTTTTCAGCGCAGTCAAAACAGCCAAGCAGCCCAACAAGCAAAGAGGCTGGCTGAAAAGATGAAATTGTCAACTTGTGAAAGTGCCAAGGACGTGGGAGACCCTGCTGTCAGGCTGTCCACCCTGTTCTGTGGCTCCATTGACATGGAAGACTGCTGGAGCCGATCTCCATTTCATTATGCTGTTGTGGCAGATCGCCCAGCAATCATCCAGCTCCTCTTTGAGGAGCTGCGCTCAAGGGGTCACACAGAACTGGCACTGCAAGTGTTGAACAAGCCTCGCATTGTGGACCCCAAGAAACCGCACTGGCTCTCCAACAGTGGTACAAATGCTGTGCAGTCCAGTATACTTATGTCAAGGGTGGAATGCATGAACACGCTGCTCAATCTTGGTGTGGACCTTTTCCCCAAGGATGGCAAGGCTGACAGGGGGTGGAACCTCTTAGCTTTTGCAATTTGTAGCAAATCTGAAGGAACAAAAGATTTGGGTCCTACTGTTGTGGTGAAAGCTCTTTTGGCAAATGCAAGGATGACGCCTGAAGTCGCAGAGAACATGGCAATGGAGCAAATGGGTTCAGCAGAGGTGACACCTTTGATGCTTGCAGTCAGTGGCATGTTCCAAGACATTGTAGAGTTGCTAGCTCAGCAACTCCCTTGTGGAACCCTGACAAAGCAGGCTGCAGATGGGAGCACCGCCCTACACATCGCCGTGCGGAAGAGGGGATGGAGGTCTGCGAAAGCGTTGCTGGGTGGTGACACATCTTTGGTCAATGAGCGCAGAAGTCAGACTGAGATACAAGTGACAACACGCATGGAAGACCATGCTGGGTTGACACCACTTGACATCGGCATGAATGTGATGGCCGATGCATGCAAGGAAAGGGCCTGCCAGGGAAAGAAGGAAACTCGTCCCAAAGATGCTGGCAAGCCATGCTCCCCAAGCCCAGTGACAAAAATCTGCACGGAACTCCGGCGATGGAACGCTTCTGCGGACAGGAAGAGACCTGACTTCAGGGAGGTGCAGGCTGCACTGCTGCAGTCTACAGAGCAAGTGTTGAGCACTCTCGAGCTGCAGCACTTCACAGCTGATCGAAATGGTGGAGTGAGGTCGGTGCTGGATCTTGTGGATTATGGGAACGAGGACCTCAATAATGGAATGAGGCCAAAACGGTCGCAGGTGCTGTCTCGCACGACACCCACCTTTCCACAACGATCTGCTGCTGCAGCAGGGACCACTGTCCTGATCAAGGGCACAGTGGTGAGGGATGCTGCAGATTGCGCAAAATGATTCTCAACATGCGGCCAGGGAGCACTGATGGATTTGAGGCACTTCTGACGAGTTGATGCGTTTCAGCGAAGTGGTGTGTGTGCGCCAGTGCAGAAGCCCTGTGAGGAAGTCGCGGTTGCAGATATGGGATACCAGTGTGCTGCAGTTGTGTTTTGCATTACAATGTTCGTTGAACAATGATGTGCTGGGCAACAGCATGGTACACATGAAGGGGGTTGGTACTGATATCAACGCCGCTGGCTGTCATTCTTTTGATGCTTGATGTGTCTGCAGGTCTTGCTTGGGCATCATTCGCTGTTCCATTTCTTATCTTTCGCCCCATTCCTGCTCATGTAGGCGCTGGTGGTGAGGGAAGGTGGGAACCCCATCTCCCAGAATTGAGGCATTGAAGAGCATTTTGTTCTTAGCAAAGTACGCAGCACCAATCCACGTCACACCTGTGGCTGTCCTTGATGCTCCTGCACTCTGAATTGCTGCAGTTGGTTTGAACTGTACACATGTGCATGGCACCCCAGGTACTGGTCATTCCTGTTGTACTGCTCAACCAGAGAGCACGCTTTTGCTTGACATAAATCAAAGCAGCAGCCTGTGCGCTTCTTGCCAAATCAACCACCAATGACTCGAGAACTTGAATCTCCACCAAATACAGAAGTACGCCGAATTCGCATCAACCGCCCAACACTCTGATCATCGATCACATCTAGCGAAGGTCAGGATTTCTGGGATCCAGATTGGGCACTGAGGCGCCTCCACTTCGCATGTTACTCGCTCGCCAGGGGGAATGGTCTGTTTCACTGTGACCTAGTGGGGAGGACTCGACAATGCTTGGACAAAACCATGGGACAAAATCACCGAACCGTGGAACAACGAGCCCATGTAAACGCCATCAGGCCTTCTATATGTCATTGACATGCTGCTGCTTAAGTTGCCTAGCACACTGAGGCGCGTTCACCTTATCTACGTCGAAATGGTGCTTCACCGTACAAGAAAGCCCATTTTGAGTGGGAGGGTCTGGGTACGCCAACACGGCATTCGAGAAAGGTAGCGCCAATGCATGCGATTAAATGGCATGAAATTTCTACCTGATCAGTTTTCTGAGTCCACCCAGTCATGTTCTCCCACATGACAAGAAAGCATAAAAACTGGAGCCAGTCATCTTCAAATTTCAACCCGAGGTCTCTGCAAAATATGCACAGCCGCTTGGCAGTACTTTACGCCACATATGGGCGACTCAGCCATGAGTCAGCCCCTTAATCCTGTGCTTCACTCCCTCACCATCCCACAACTAAACCAAACTCACGTTCCGATGGCGAGTGCGAAAACAAGTCAAAGTGGGAACCGAAGGGAAGCCTAAATGGTGGCACCCGCTCCGGCCCCGAAAGCCTGCCAAACTCTAAGGGCGCCAAACCATTGACGGCTCCTGTTTGCTTCCTTGGACTTTGTCCGGCCCGAGGTACCAGGGGGCCAGAAGCCAAAGGGTGTGGCATGAAATTGGCCCATTCAAACAGATGCTGGCTCAAACCACTGGCGCAGGCCACCCATCGTCGCACTTTGCAGAGATCTATTCACAAGACAGTTCATTTCATCACTAGATTGGGCATGAAGACGCTTCCAAAATAGCAGACAGCTGCATCGGCTGCTTGATTCAGTTAGTGTAGGTGGTTGTAATATCGGAAACCTCCGTATAGGTCTTGATCCGCAGTTGGCGGTGCCGGAAGGCAGTATTTGAGGTGGTAGCAGCATGCCATAAGGTCCTCCGTCCCACATCGTATTGCGATGTGGGACATTATAGTTAAACCACAATGGCCGTTTGAGGCTCCAAAGCCACTGCACTCTGACCTGATTATCACTCTGGCAACATGGGCCCGAATACTGTGTGCCACATTCTCGTGCCCCGCGGTGTGCTACCCCCCCCCCCCTCCATCACTGACAGTGGCCGTCTGTGTGCGAACCATGGTGCAATGCAAACGAAACGATAAGTTATTGCCTCATGAGTCTCCGCAAAAGGCTTCTCGACAATGCGCCCTGAGTATGGCATTCGCAGGAAGCCTTTCAAAAACTTTCGGGAACACTTGAATGACTTGCACATTTAGTTACCCAAAATGGGACTGTACGAGTGGAGTCCAACAGTTGGACACAAACCGAGGTCAATGCCTGTGGCCCCGGGTTCTAACATTGTCGCCCATTCAAACCATCAGTTGGTGGTAGGCAATCAACGAAAGGTAAGTAAACGAATACCAACTCTCCTGCGTTCAATAAGCTACCTGAAATTTCATTGCTGATTAGCCATCTGTTGTGCATTTGGGCATGAATTGGGCCACCACAGTGGTACTTTGCGATTGTATGGCTTGTAGAATAGCTTTTGGGAATGACGCACTGGTTGCTCATTCCAATGAAGAGCCTGAACGTCGGGCTGCTCTCGCGGGGTCCAAGTCGTTTGTTTGGAGCGTGATTTGGTAATAATTGGCCAGGAAATCATCAATGTCGCATTCGGTGGTAGAATGGACCTTAATGCTCCCACTCCCCAATGAGAATCCGTGCATTGCCTCCAGTGCTAGCCTTGAACAATGGCCTTGCAGCCGATCGCCGCCCCGAGGCGACTTGCCGGCACGTGGGCAATTCACGCACCACCGCCACCCGCAATGCAGTGCCGCAGCGGCCTGGGGACTTCCTCAGGCAGGTCTTTGGGCGTCGCAGGCAAGGGTATCCGGACATGCGGCATGCCGTCTGCCACGCATCCACGCCAGCAAGGAAAACGATGCGTGGACGTGCGCGCGTACAAGGTCACATTCGTAGCTGAAGACGGCACCAAGGTCCAAGCAGAAGCAGCGGATTCGGAATTCCTCCTGGAGGTCGGCGAGCGCAACAACGTAGAGATCCCCTCGAGCTGCCGGTCGGGGATGTGCGGCACGTGCATCTCCAAGCTGAAGTCGGGAGGTGCGCGCTGGCGAAGCGTTGCGCTGCCAGTCAAGGCCCCGAATGCGCGCGTGTGCGTGCAGCAAGAACCTCCACAAAATACGCCAGTGCACAAGACTCGCTGGTATTATCTGCTCTGGTGACTGGACGAGTGAAACGCGTCACTGTTTCGCAGAGGTGGACATGAGCGAGGCGATGGACCTGGAGGGTCAGCTGTCTCCAGAACAGCTGGCGGAGGGCTACATCCTGGCGTGCAGCTCGAAACCCAAATCAGACTGCACCGTGGAGTGGAAGCCATACTAGAGAGCTGGGCGGTCGAAGAAGGGTCGGCACCATGTCGGCCGATCTGAGACAGGTGGCCGGTGGTCGAGGGTTCCCTTCTGGAATGGAGGAATAGTGACGATTCGGCAGGATTGTCTTGACGGTCATTGGTCGTTGATGGAATTTGTAGCCCTTAGACTGCATGGGCCCCCACGTTCTGAGAAGTTCAGCAACGTAGATTCACTACGATTCTCCACTAGAAATTGGAACTGGCTGCATCGCTGGGATGATTTGGAATCCTTGGCCGTTGCAAGAGATAATCCTTGATGGACACACATTTGAGGACATCGTCCTTGCCTTCTGGGCGATTCGCTTAGGTCTGTGGCGACTGAGTGGACCACAAATCGGCCTGCACACTTGCGGTCAAGTTGCTCTGGTGCATTCGCATGTGATGTTTGACCATCTCTGGGCACAACTTGTAACGAACATCCGTTCTTGCAATGCCCGACAAAAGCAGGAACATGCCGAACGGGCGTGTCCTTAACTCTGGCTACTCATGTATGGAGGAGAAATGCATGTATTTTATATTATCAGCCCAGCATCTGAGCAGCAGACCCTTCACTGCGGTTCGTGTATGGAAAGTGTTATGTTCAATCGCTTGTTGCGCCTTCATAACACTTGTATCAATAGAAATTGACTGCCTCCTGTACACAATTTGCATTCTGCTGGCCTGAATTGTTGCCGAATGCATGTCGCCATTTGTGATACGTTTGTGGGGCAAAGGAAAAGTATCATGAGCGCACCATTGACGTTGAAGGAATGGTTGTAGCAAGGGACAGCGAGACGTATCTGATTGCCCCAGGCCAGTCGAGTGGGTCAGCAGTTCGTTCACTGGCACCGGAGGATCCGGGTTCGAGTGCTGAACAGGGAACCAGTTTGTTATCCGCATGGTTGATGTGGACACATACCGCGAAGTCACCACACTGCGGGTGCCCATTCAGCAATCCACAAATGATGATCCTTTGAGTTCATCGTGAAGATTTGGTATTTTGCAACCTGCTCACGACACTACACAATAACCACCAATGCTGTGGGTGTTGTGCATGTACCAGCAGGCGATTGACCTCACAAGAGGTTGACAAACATCTTCATAGTGATCATCATCGTCATGAGATCCTGCATGTCAAGGTTCTGTGGGGTAAACAGGTGGTCAGCTGCGGATTCTGCTTCATGCTTCCCCAAAACATCAGGCCTTCCTGCATCCGTGTCACGTGGCCAGATGCCAGAACAGCAAGCAGGAAAAAATGGATACACTAAATGGGCCTTGCTTTGAGAGTTGAGTAGGAATCCTGGGACATTCAGGTCTCAAATTGGACTTATCTTTGTGCTTCCTTCGTGTTTTCCAAGTCTGCTTCGCAACTGACTTCTGAAACTTTCACAAGTGCCCTATGAGAGTGCCACTCAAGGGCACTCTTGTTCGTTTGAACGAGGAAAGACATTATTTGAGACCCCTGTATCAACTTGATGTTCAGAGAGCTATAATCGAAATGGCCTCATCAATTGCACTCCACCCCTACCCTGTTTGCCAGTGGCTGGCACTCCTGCATGGCGGGGCTCGAAAGTCTATATCTTGCACTCTGACAATAAGTCCGTGGGCATGATTGGATGGCGAGGTGTGTGGTAGGGTTGTGTGGTTGAGTATCGTATTGTGTTTGTAGTGTCTGCTTCTAGGACCATCCCTAATAATTTGGATTAAGGTGGAACTTCTCCGCTTGGCTCCCCACAGTCCACACAACACCATATTCGGGTCTCCTTTCCAGTTGCAGGGACAAGAAAAGCCAGCGACAGATACTGCAAAGAATAAGCTTTGCGTGTGCATTAAAAGAAGTGCAACAAAATTGCTGGTATGAAAATTCTGCAGCCCAGGGCGCTCTAACCCACAATAAAATCATGCAAAAGTTTGGAAAGCGCAAGCGGTTTCTCAATGTGGACAGCATGCCAAGCGCCTTCTATCTCAACAAACCTTACCCGCCTCGCTGTGTCGCTGCTTTGCAACAAGCTATCATGGGTCTCAGGGCCCCGATTATTTTCTCCTCCAGTTGTGACATCTGATGTGGCTCTCTTCGAAGCCTCTGATGCCATTTGCTTCCCTAAGTGAACAAACTTGACGTCTTCCTGGCCAGCAACAAAGAGCAACCGCAAGGAGCATGTGGAGAGCCAGCCATGCAAAGGAACCTGGACACACACCTGGGATCAGTGAGACACAAGGATCCACACAAACGGGGAACATGCAGCGCATTTGGCCCCTCCTGTGAGAGGACCATGCAGTTGTGTATGCGAACAAGAATGTACTGTGCCATGTGGCGGGTTGATCGCATCTGCATGGGAAGCATGGACTACAAAACAGTGCTCTGTATCCATAACTGGAACATGACACAATGCTCCAGGGGCCTCGACGATCATGTTGATATTACGCATTCGAAGTGGTCATGTGCATATTAGAAGTGGTTCCTACTGCCCCGTTGTTCATAATCGAGAGCAGCCAATGTCTATTTATAGATATCCAAGTCACATGCCATGATGCTGAGACACCAGCCACTTGGCACATTCCATGGGCAGATCAACAAGCTGCACCTGTTGAAAACCTAGCTGATGACCAGGATCTGTGCAAGAAACTCACCATTCGCCCAGTGCTCAACCCCGATAGAGCATGACTCAAATTCTCCACATTGCCTATCCTCGCTTTGTGTGCCAGCAACCTTTCAAGGATTTGTGGTTGCTGCCGGAGCCCCTGCCACAGTGGCCCCTTGTACCACATCCCAAGGAAAGCTTCCAGGCCCCCTGACCTTAACGCAAAAGCCAGGTCGTCGTCCCGTCTGGCACGCATCAATCTGTGTTCAGGGTCTGGGATGCCTGCGGTTCCAGAGATGCAGGCCACTCCTTCACACCTCAGTTTTGAGCCTGCATCCAATTGAGAAGCCACTGTGAGAGCTACCCTGGCCCCCAGAGAATACCCAACTAGCGTGCACTGTGAGATTCCAAGGGTCTCCAAAAGTGTGACAATTGCGGATGAAACATTCTCTAAAGAATACCCTTCATATGATGCACACTGTGCTGCAGATTGTACACCATCCCCAATGAAGCCATCGTTGGTTGCCATCCCCCCCGTGCCAGCTGCCACTTCTTGGCTTTTGGACTGTGGTGCCTTGTCCTCAGATTCTGCCTCACTGCCTTCACTGCGGAAAGCCGCTGGCACGTAATCCACATTCTGTCCATGCACACGATGGACCCTTCCATTACCGCCAGCACTCCGTTCAACAGTGCTGGCTTTGTTGCCTTCGAAAACCTGGGTTTCCCCATGTCCAGGCAAGTCCACAGATATGCACCAGCACGATTTCGAAAGAGATGCCATCTGTGGCACCCAGTCATCTGATGACCCCAGGAACCCATGCAGGAAAACCACAATGGGTGGATTACTGGGCGTGGTGACAGGCCATGCAGAGTGAGCATCATCGTCCCCTTCAGCGGGTAATGGCAATGGTGCATGATTTGGCAGCATTTCAAGAACCCTAAATATGTACTCCACCTCCCCCTGCACGGGTACCAAAGACTCCCTTGTGGTGATTGTAGTGGGCATGGAGACTGTTGTAGAATCAAGATTGTTTCCCTTGGCAGCTGCTTGCATGATCTTCCAGGTGTCTTCAAGTCCCATGCGTGCTGACTTCAGAATGTTTTGCTCCTTTAAAGAGTCACCAAGTTCCTGAATCTCAACACTGTGGTGCGCAACAACACTGTTTGCAAACCATGTTGTGGTGGCCAGTCCATGAGCTGGAGCATAGCTGAGCACAGGGTCCTGGTGGCCAAGTCTATCTCGTGAGTTTTTTCTAATGGCATCTGTCGCCACTGCAACTTGACAAAGAGTACTGAGTCCCACTGAGCTCTCAAATGAGGAGCTCACTACAACATCTACTTGATTTGCCCTTCCCCATCTCCCTATTTCCATAATCGCATCAACAGATCCCAAAACTGTTGGCTTAACCACCAAAGCAGCCAATCCGTCCCCCTTTCTAAATCTGATAGATCTCCCTGATCTCACTTGCTCAACGACAGTCTCATCAAGAGCAAAGCGAACCCCAGTCCTCTTAAAAAATTCACACAAGTCTTCTGCATGCACTGTAGGCTCTTCCACATACTCCAGATGAGCATCATGAACTGCGATACCAAAACGAACAGCCTCATCTAAGTCCCAACCCTGGTTGGCATCAGCACGAATCTTGACGTCCTTTCCAGCAGCAGCCCTGATCGCCTTGACGATTTCAGCGTCTGTCTCGGGTGACCCTTCCCTGGCAACTTTTACTTTGAGAGATGAGAAGCCCTGAGAAAAGTATTCTCTTGACAGCTCCACAGCCTTGTTGCTATCCCCCCTTGGGTCCACAAGGGCATTCAGCGACACACTGTAGTCAATGTGCTCATCCAGGGGATGGGCTAGAAGATGTGCAAGCATGAATGTTTCTGAACCCATCGAAGCTGCCAAAGCATGCAGAATTGCAGTTTCTATGCCGAACCTGCAAAGCCAGAGGGGAGGGGGGACACGAAGCCACACATTCAACCCAAGAAAGAGTACTTGTCCAGCAACAACTACAACAAAAGTGTTGAGCTTATGTCATCTGCTGCAAGTCCTCAATTGCCCAGAATCCGATACAATGGTGTGAACAATGCGTTAAGGATCCTGCAGGCACTTTCCTGACATCAACTGCGAACATGCCCTCTGGTGAATGTGTTTGCAGAGCAGCAGTTTAACAATGCATGCAACACCAATTGGCAATTGCACTCATTTTGTAACCAGAAACAGTCAGAGAGGTGCTTACTGGCCAATAGCAGTGCTCAGTCACAGGGTCCAAGTCCCGGTGCCCTGGAACTATTATCACTGCACAATCGCAGTCAAAGGTGCGGGAATGATGACTCACCTAACTGATGATGCCAAACTTTCAATATCACCCCCAAGTTCTGTTGCAAGCCACCTGTGCAGCTGGCCAGGCACCAAGCCAACTGAAGATGGAACCTAATCAAGGTGCAAAGGAGCGAGTAAGGCATGATGGCCTCAAAAAGACATATTGCTTGGTGCTGCCAGCACCAAGTTTGAATCAATATATATCATAGTCTGCTTCCATTCTACCAGAAAGTGAAGCAGTTGGCAACATACTCATTGCAACTCGCCAAGACAAGGCAGTCGCAAAATCAAAAGACTTTGCCTTTGAGCTCCAAGAGAGTGCTCCCAGACTATGTCTGGTCGACTAGCTACCACCACAGGAACATCACAAGGAGGGGACTGGCATGCAGCTCAACACAGAATGTTGTTCTCTGACCTGCTTGCCCTTCAAAATTTGTGCCATCAGTCTCAGCTGGCTCTCTGCTTCTTGCAGCGATTCTGCGTTCAGGCCAGGCAAAGGAGCTATTTCACCTATGCCGTACCATTTCTTGACCCCTGAAAAGCACACAGGATACACTGTTGATCCATGCACAATCATTTGCACATGTTGACCTGGTGAAAATTTCCAGGCGGGGGCTTACCTGGCAATTCCACCAATTCAATCGTTACCAGAAGACCTTCTCGGCTTTGTTGTTCTGCACATGATGTGATGCCACTTTTAGTTTCCAGGCAGTAATTTTGCCAGCTGATGTCCTGTAGTTTCAGAAGATATGAGCCACTCCTCGATGACACAGTGTCTTGCAAATACTGTGGCATGTTGGAGTGAGCACCTGGCAGCGTGACTACTGAGTTCACTGCTTGTTGTGCCATGGATTGCATGTGGCGATGGATGTCAAGATTTGTGTTCCTAGAAATGCATCACAAATCAACTTTGGCACACCCTAATTGTTGTTATGCTGAGTCAACATAATTGAGGGCCAGCAGGCAGCAACACATAGAAAACTGCAGCTGTCTTTTGACAATTAGTGAAAGAGTTCACAGCACCAGAAGGGGGCATCACAGTCACATACTACAAAACCACAACATAGAAGAAAGGAGCATAATCGAAGATTCTGAAAAGTGATTGATTCAAACAATCTCAATTTGGCAATTTTGAGGGATGCAGACAATCCATAAGGCAGGCTATGTGATCCCTCAGCTGACCTGTCTGTGACGATCTCAACAACTGAATGCCTTTTCAGACACCATGCAGTTTTCAGTGCATGTGAGAGTTCATCGGGATGACAGACCTTCTGATGAGGGATACCATGAGAACGGCACATTCCTGCCGCAAGAGAAACACATTTGATGTCAACACCACAATGATGACATGGCAGTCAAACTTAGAAAGAATGGCGATTGAACACCCAGACAAACATGCTGTGTCATAACACATGAAAAAGATTGAATGCTTCAAAACGGCCATCATGCCACAGCAAATTGAATGGCAACAGACTATTATTTTTGAGCCAGTGAACCACCAGATACCACACCTGCAAATGCAGGGCTTGCATCTGAAACAGTTGTGTTCTATGTATGTGCTGTACAATGTACAATGCTTTGAGTAATAAGTTTCTCACTGCAACAGTGAGCTCACTGAAAGGATTTTGGCTGAAAGGCTGACAGGCAGCGCCCAGCCTAATTGACTGCCAATGCCACCACGTTTTCCCTTCCCCTCTTCACATCAACCCTTAGAAGCTCAAAGGCCACAGAACACTTCACACCTTCCAGCGCAACATGCTGCGGTGTTGTCCACAATGCTGTAAAGTCCTCTTGGGATACTGCATCAGCGATTGGAAGGAAGTTGAATATTCCTCCTCCACTGTTATTTATCAGGACAACTGTCAGCACTGGCCAGTCCTCGCCACTCCGTAGAAGGTTGAGCCCATTGATGTCGTGCAGGAACGAAACATCGCCAATGACCAGTGTGACTGGTCTCTGCAAACCTACAGCAAAGCCTGCGTGCGGAATTGTGTCTGGTGTGAGAATTTTTAGCACATAACTTCAGGCCCCTCTCCCGATTGTTGATATCAATAGTGCGCAACTCGCCACAGTTCAATGCCAACACAATGCATGGAAAAGTTGCAACTGTCACTGTTCTTGCACTTTGTGATTCCTCAATGTCAAGCCCAGGTGCTTTTTGCACACTCCTCAGCACAAGAGCCTGTGCTGGATGCGGCAGTTGCATGTCTTATTAACGAAAGTACCAATTCAGTAGCAACTCAAAAGCAAGCAACAAAAATGGACATTCCCAAAACCAGAAATATGGACCAAACTCTAATCCATAGCTCAGATACACTATGTCAGCACAGAGAACAAACAAATGTACAAACAACTCTCTTGATTCCTTGTTGGGATGTTGGCAAATAAACTGTGAATGGTTGCTGTTCAGAGTGAATTTGCTGCAAGTATGGCCATGCTCACCAGCTGCAGAGCTCAGCACTCCATCGATGCCACTGGCCCCCCTGTTTGCAGCCACTGGCACCCCGACATCGAATTGCTTTCCATGCCTGCAACACTCTCCAGCAAACATCTCCATATCCCTGATGGGCATGCTGTTCCCCAAAAATAGACCTTGGCCACTTGGCAGGGATTGTGCAACTTCCCAGGCAACAGAAGGCTCACAAACAACTGTCCCTTGCTGGAGCTCGACCATTGCAGTGCCAACAGCATATGACACTGCCTGGTCCACCGACTGCCAGAGCTGAAGGTAAGACGATTGGGAAGTACCACAAGGGGGCAGGTGGGAACAGAACGAGCTAAGATCCACCTGGAGGCTGTGCGATAAGAGGTGTGCTGGATCGTCACGACCTGGATGTTGTATAATGGATATCCATGGCAGCCTGGACCCGTCCTCTCTGCCCGTTAAAGTGGACCATGACTGCAGAAACACCACATTGAATTGTTCTCAAGATCAATCAATATTATTAAGTCCGTACAACGATCTATGATCTCTCCATCATGTGCAGCAACTCTCCGATTGTGTGCACAGTGGAGAGCAGTGGTGCAAAACACAGGGAAGCTGAGTGTCGATCTTACCTGCATTCTGTCAAGCAACAAGAACAGCGCACAAATCTATGGTCACATCTAGTTGGCTCCAACATGTGAGCTCCATCATGTGCAAATGCTTCAGCCTGCCTATATATATGTGCTGCTGCATGATGTCAACTGTGCCATCATGCTCATGGCTCTGTTGCGATTGAAAGCCCTTGTTGACACTCATTCTCTGCTGCACGGTCTCTGCATGCAGCACAGACTGATCTGCTGCGCAGATCACGCGTCGGAGACATTCTTTTGCTGTTGCTAAGACAGTGACAAGGTGCTTAAATGTGCCAGCACAAGATGGACAGTGCACAAGCAGTATGACAAGTGGCAAATACCTGCTCTTCTTCTTAGGCTGAGTAGTATTCATTTGCAAAATGATGAAGCAGTCTGCTGGGTCATTCCTTATATGCTTTGACAGAAGGCTGGCCAATAATCAGCGGTTGGATCGTTTACCATGTGACGTGTGTGTACCAGTGTGTGTCATTCAACGCATCAGAGCAGATATTAAGAGCATGGTCTTCAAAGTGCAGATTTAGTGTCGATGTACATCCCATGCAATGAGTTCATGGCTAGTAAGCCAACAATTGTATCACATCTGCCCAGGATGCAATAGTTGAAGCAAAGCGATGTGAAAACAATGGGTGGCAAACTTGAGTTCTGGATGTGCAATACCCAACTTCATCCACAACAGCTTGAAGGGTACCACTTCGCCTTGTGTAGGCAATTGCAGCCATCAGACTTCAAGTCCAACAGCCCTTCACAGTTTTCTGTCGATCCAAAAAAAAATCTGGCGTATTTCTGACAGAGTGCAGATTAGAACATTGGGGTATTTGGCAACGAGAGGAAATTCTGCATACTGGGGAAGAAACGCTTGTGGAGGGTACCAATGCCCCCAATTGAATTAGGCGGTGCAACTGACACTTTTTGTGAAATGTCAACAACAGGAATCAAAACGTGCCACCATTTGGCAAATTTCATTATGTGACCGACTGGCACACTCTGTTGATTCATTGCTGGCCCAAGAACAAGAAGCACAGCCCAGAATGTGAGAAGGAGAAAGTCATTCACCCACCAAGAACTCATGCAGCCTCTTTGAGGTCAAGTGGCCCCCGACCTGAAGCACAACGTCAGGGGCCAGGGCTGCCCAGGCTTCCTTAGCAATCAAAATATTGTCTGCATAATACACTGACAGGTCTTGAAACCCGTTCCCATGATTGCCAACCTTAAGCCCTGACAGTACATCTGCTATGGTGGGCCACTGTAGTACAGATGCAAGGTGCGCTGCAGCATGGGTCTCCCTGGGAGTACAAAGGTGACCCACTACCAGCAGACCTCTTGTTGCATTCTTCACTATCTGAACAACCTTGAAACACAGACATAAGGTCACAGTGAGACATGCTGTCACAAGCACAAGCCATCAAAACGTAGTTGCAGACGACATAACACAGGCTTTGCACTAAGCCAATTCACTGCGATCTTATGCACAAGTTCCAGGGATTGTGTTCATGAAATATGAAATATGATGGCTGGTGCACATATCAAGTGAATGTGGAGCACCGTCCCCATTTGCAAGCATTTGCTTCGTGGGTGTTTTGTTCATGCTCATAACCAAACCACTATGGGCACTTGGAAGCACAGCTGATATGCAACAGAAGAGACATAGGTAAGGCATGCACAGTTCACATTTTGTCTGTTCCAGGTTTCTGCAACACTCCCACCGAATTATTTGTCACAACCTTCGATTCAGATGCAGATGCTTTTAAAGTGTCTTTTTATCATCCAAAGGCCTGCACTTAACTTTTCTCCACCTCACATGTGGCAGGTAGGGCCAAGAAGCAAAATTGAACATGTTGGCACAGTAAGCCAAAAGGAACACCCCTTCCACAATCCTTGCATTTGGCTGCTACAATGTTACCCTACCATTTCCACATCCTATTTTCATCACAACAGCATCAAGTTGGGAATGCTGCCCACAAGATTATTTTAACTGGTGCTGTGCATGTTCTCTCAAGAATTACCTCACTGACAGCCCCAGCTGCCTGCAAATTTTGGGCTTGGTCATCAACAGGAACATCCATTGCTGTGAAAGGTTTCAACGATTTCTGCCAGTGCTGCAACATGCTGTCATCAATTGTCACAGCTGATGCTGCAGGTGTTGGTGCCAGGGGTTCTCTGAACTGCAGGTTGAGGTGCACAGGGCCAGCATTATGGCGATTCGTGGCAATACGAACAGCGGTGTCCAAAGCTGTCAGCAACATACGGCCTGGTGTCTTGCTGTCTGGCGGAGGGAGATCTTGAGCCCAGCGCACATAGGAACCAAAGATCTTGACCTGCAACAGATGCATGCAATGGAATTCTAAACATTAGTATGTGCCATGGTAGCGTATATAAGAGTGTGCGATGAAGACACAATATAAAAAGCCCTCCAAAGTGTGTATCGATGCTACACCTAAAGTCAACCACATTTCATTCTCCAACTCAGTCAAGTTTGCTGGCTATTTAGCTGCCACATGTCAAAGCTGTGAAAGGGAGCGATGCTACAACTTGTAGCTGTGACAATTGACTCAAACGACTCCATTCATGCACTTCCACAAATGCCCAAGTGTTTACAAACCTGGACACAAGCACAAATTGATTGAACCCTGCTCAACAACAGTGTTCACTCCCTGTCCGCTACCCTATGAGGCACTACCAACACCTGCACCTCCATTAGAAGCAAAGAAACAGCTTGCTTAGCCACTACTTCATTCAGCATGAGTACCTGATCGATGCATTGATTTGCCCCTGTGTCTCGGAGCTCAGGAGGCCGGTCTGCAGTCAGCAGCAGCATGGGCACTTGGGACATGCTTGCCTCCACAACTGCTGGGAGCAGGTTGGCAACGGCTGTTCCTGATGTTGTCACAACTGGTGCTGGACGCCCAGTGGCCTGAGCAAAACCAAGAGCCCAGAAGCCAAGGGATCTCTCATCGATGCAAGGGACCACTCGAACTCGAGGATGCATGGCAAGGGCTGCTGTAAGTGGGGATGATCGGGAGCCTGCAAAGTAGAAGGAAAGAGAAGATGAGTACAGCAGAAGGAGCAACACCAGAATGGCAGGAAAAGGTATCTGCAGGCTAGCACCAGCAAAAATATTCCAATGGAGTGATACAACCCTGTGTTGAAGTAACAGTATGGTCTCCAAGGCTATACAATGAGCATGGTTCCAATTGACCAATGATTATGAAAAGCGATCCAACAGCCACACTTGGGGCCTTCACCAGCTAGCTACCACATGCCCTTGGTACCATTAACATATCCTGAACAGAACACAGTGATCCAGAAGTCAATCTTATGCATCGCATACTGCAAGGCACTATGATGATTCCAGCTCAGGAACTGGCAAGTTTGGATGCTGCATACTATAATCAACGCACAGGAAACTAAGAAGTGTCAAGGTTCAGCAGCTACGTCCACAGCATGAACTGGCAAACACATCTCTATCCATAACTGCAACCACGCTGTACATCGACAGAAGTGGACTTCAACCTAGAAACACCAGGAAGAAGGCAGAACCCATAGCACAGTTGCAATATTGCAATGAACATAGCATTGAAGTGCTGAGGTACTGACAACTCTCACCCGGGGCTATCCCAACAGTGTTCAGTCCCATTCTGCAGAGCTCCTCAACGATCATTGAAGTCCACACCATGTTCATATTCATCTGGTCAAGGGGCCCTGGCCTGGGAACAAGCAAGCGCTCAAACTGCTTCACCTTCAGGTCCAACTCCTCCCACTCCATCTGGGGATCTGACTCTTTCACGACACCCACTCCAGCATACAGCTGGACTGCATGTCGCTCAAGGGTGGTGTCATCCTCAGGCACAATGCCCTCAGCAAAATTGACAGATTGCTGCTGACCCGGGACTGAAGGGGCTTGAGAGCCTAGAAAACCTTCTATTATCAGTGCCGAGCGAATGGCCACCACAAACTCTGCACCTCCACCACTAATCCACCCAAAGGGTCCAGCATAGAATCCGCGGTCGAAATCTTCGTACAGCTGCAGAAATTCCTGGGCAATATCGCGGGGTCTGCCAGCGATCGCTGGTGTTGGATGCAAGGCATTCTGCAAAGTATCAACATCTCCAAGTCATTCTCACAGCAGGACAGAAAAGAGAAAAACAACTCATTCATATTCAGTTGCCTGATGACCAACCCGGAACAGAGTCCCTTTCAAGACGCTTCCCTGTCTATCAGCATTGATCAAAGCCACAGTCATCAGTGCTGTTCACCTCCTCTTTCACACATCATTGCTACAAGTATATTGATACTGCATTATCCATATCAGGCAGTGCAAATTACCTAGGCAGCTAAACAACCTTGTAGATGTTTCAACTATTTTGGTAGGTTTGATAGCATGCGACAACGACACTGCAAGGGTCCGTGCTCCGATTCCTGCATACCAGCAAATCAGCATCTGTCGTCCCACTGGCAAGTGTCCCACTCAGGAGACTGTACAGGTGCTGTACTGCCCCATGCTTCATCACAGTTTTGGGGACATCCACGACAACACTCATGCACACCCTGGAGAGGGCATCCTGAAGCCAGTCCCGGACCAGCGTGAACTCTACATGGTCTTTGTGGCTTTGGAGCATGTCAAACCCCAGCCAGAAGTCCTTCTCAACATCCCCTGAAGAACATTGCACAAACAGCTTCACCTTGTGCACTGAAAGAAGCCCCGACTTTGTCCAACTCGCAAAAGAACCATGGTTTGTTGTATTCTCTGATGAATGAAGATGTTCTTGAAGATTATCTGCTGATGTTGTGTTCTCTGATGAATGAACTGAACACATGTACATCGCTGGAAGCACACGTTGTCTGTTTTCAGAAATGCACAATCGCAACATGGCTGGTTCAGCATTGTTCATTGAGTATCATTCTGGTGAACATGCAAAACATACTCGTGGATCATTCTTGTGATGTTGCTAGAAACAATTAGAACGTGGCATTCTGTCAACTCAGCAATGACACATAGCGTGACCACTCTGTTCTACCACACGGTGTGTAAAACAAACTATCACCTTTGGGGCCTCTGGCTCTTGTTCCTGCCACGGCTTCTGAAGCGATCTTGTCCCCAGTACGTGCATACAGGCGTTCTGGAGTACTGGAAATGAAGCTTCCGCCATCAGGGATGCAAAGCGCCAATTGGTAGGCTTGTGGATCGGCATCCTAAAATGATGCTACGTCTCAATCAATAGCTCCACCGAAGGGGACATTCAGGAAACAAAAATGAAAATAAAGGAAAAATTCAGCCCCCACTTCCACATTGCCAGCCAAGCAATTTCCATAAGCAACAAGCATACAACAAAACTGCTACTTCAGCTACAGAACCAGAACTAAATTCTACTTCTTCTGTCCTTTTGTATTGCCGTCTATGAATTTGTGGCGTTACTTCTCCATCGTGCCTACATCAGTTTTCAATGAAATTTACCCCATAGTTGTGCTTGTGAGGTTGGAACATGCTGTCAAAATTTCAAGTCAATCCATTCAGTATTGGGGATTTGGCAGTACTTTGTAGCAAGGGTTCTCTGGCCACAAAAGGTCCTTTTCAGGAGCAGGTCTTCGCGGCAGCGAAACAAACCCATCCTTGCAACACTATTCATGCTGTTCAGGGTGGAGGTCATTAAGATGCTTACAAAGAGATCTGGCAACAGACAACGCATTTCGAATGTTGTGATCGTTGCACTCGCCGTGGCTTGCAACATCAATTCAGGCTTGATCTCATGGATCGGAACCAGATTTTTTTGGCCAAGGTTTTTTGAGCTCCTTTGCCGCCATCAAGGCAACTAAGGGAGGTCTCCCAATCCTTTTAACAAGGAGCCAGGGATGGTGATGGCTATCACCCCGATATAGTGCAAACAACTAGTGAATTGGCCATTGCCACGGAAATGGCGATTTGTCCTTGTTTCGGGACTTCAAAGGATTGGGTGCAAGGAGGATGGCCACAAAGGTGAATTCAGGTCTTTTGGAGCGATGAAGACTTGCCAGGTTCCAATGGATTGCGTAAGATACACAGGCACGGCCACTGTATCCACAGACAATGGTTATTTGTGGACTTGTGGCTTAAGGGCTCACGCAAGCCCCAATTCAAGCATCATTTGAGTCGAATATCCAAGCAAGGCTACCAAACAGCCTTGGAACGACAGCACGCACTAAGCCCAGGCTTCAAGGGTTTAGACATTGGCCTTTCTACTCATTGGAGGTCCACAAATCAGAGATTGAGGAAAGCGGCGATTTTGGGCATCGTCAACACTGCGACGATGGCCGCCTAAGACGAGGATAAATGCACGTGCGAGTGTGTTCGGCCAGTGCTATGACCCGCGCTGGACACCGTTCTTTGCCACAAAGTCGGCAACCCTTGGTGTTGCAACTCCCAGGCACGGGAGAGGCCCTAAACCAGGGGGTTCTGCAAGACCGCGGACATTGAATTCGCATTTTTTGACATTGTCAAGGCAATTTTGGTGGGCAGCGCACAGGGGTGAAGACTAAATCTCTTTTCCTGACAATTCGAACTTGGAGGTTTTGAGACCCAATCTTTCCGATTCTAGCCTCCATTTGTACTTTAGATGCTATTTTCAAGACGAGATTTCTCTCTCAAATAGACGACAATAATATGGGACGGAGGAAGTACATTATGGCAAATTGAGCTTGAAACCATAATACAAAACCTAATGTGAAGGATACCATGGTGTGGCAATGGATGCCGGGCACCATTGTTCTTCCTCAATGGCATGAGGCGAGTGACTTAGTCATCAAAATGGTGTACTGCTGTACTTGTTTGGACACACTGTTCTGAACAGCAATTTCCTGCCCTGACACAAGGGGGCTCAAACACTTGGACAACAACATTCCAACCTTGATTGTGTAAAGCTGAGTGTTCAACAACATTCATGCAAGCCCACAGTGCAAATAACACTATACAGCTGACAATACTCATGCACCGATCGCGAGATTCTTGTGACAAGGCACATTCACTCTAAGATTGCACCAGCTCAAGGATGCAGCCATGGTTTGAACAGCGCTGACCAAGCCCAGCAACCCAGATTCTGCTGTCAATGCATTTGTTCTTTTCAACTTTGATCAAAGAATGGGCAACATGAGGAGCCACTTCTGCAGGTTAGGCCAACTGACCTGTAGTGCTCCCAATAACTCAAGGGAGTTCAAATGCCCAGTTAATTGCAGATCTGTTCTTCGGGCAAGCACAACCTTGGTCAGTTTTTCCAGTGTGCTGGGATCCATGGACTCTTGAGAAAGGGAGAAGCTCAAGGCGGCCAGTAAGTCGTCAAGGCTCTGTGACACACACATGCACACACAGCAAGAGTTGGAACTCCAGCATATGGCTCTTCGTCGAAGTGTGCCCACAGCACACAATCGACGGAGCACCAGGTATTGTGCCGCAAATGACACTTCCCAATACAGACTTTATGGGATACACAAGTGCTATTGTTTGCAGCGGTCTGCCAGTTGCTGTGCTGCTCATGTTTTGCAATGCTTTTAGCAAGCTAACTTGAGATGCCCCTGGACGTTGCAAATTCCCCTGCCTACGGACGAATTGATGTGTGTTGTTCCTCATGAATCATGTGCCCAGGTCACATGTACTCACATAAAGATGCCACACAGACATTTCTTGTGGTTGCAGCTCAACATGGAAAGGTGACTATCAGTGTTGGAATATCAGTGCCTGTTGCAGTGGGCCCTATCACACCTCGTGTCCTACCTCCTGTCCACCAGAAAGAAATTCTTGCCGTGCCACATCTGGCTCCACATTCTCACTCAAACTATCCCCAAAGGATACAGGAACAAGCTTGCCCAGAGCGATCTTCATCAGCTCAAGCCAGCCAGGTTTCTCAGGATGTGAACCCGTGAGCTCCCTGTCATCCATAAGGCCGCATATCAGTTCCCATACGCAACAAACTGGACAAAGAACCACCAGTACTAGCCCGTCCCATCACAAAACATGAACTTCAAGATGGAGGATGGACAGATCTGTGGCTCTTGTTATATCGGTGGGTATACACCCCCCTAGTGTGTTAGAGTTGCACACCTGACAACGATTATCCGCCAGGCAACAAATGCATGGATGGATAGCTGTCCAACCAAAAGTGTAATGTTTCCACACATGCGGCATCCAGTTTATACAGGGCCACTTTTGGATGAAGAAGAATACCTAGGAAGAGACTCCTGTGTGTGTGAACAGCATCCAGCATCGACTGTTGGGTGCAAGGGCAGTGATTTTTTGTCAACTACGCTGCATGCCATGCAGACGCAATTGCCAGTTCTGCAGATTATCTTCTCACAAAGCATATTACCTCACTACACGCGGAGCCCTTGCAGCATGTGTGGATGGCACAGTGACATCTTGCAGCAGTGCCTGAGCCCTGCTGACTGCTGTCTTCAAATCGCAAGGGCCACAACCCCAGACAGAAGAATCAGGACAATCAATGCCTGCATCCCATGCCAGATTGCATGCCAAGCACATGCCTTGAGGGCCCTCTACAACTTCGAGGCATGGAAGGAGAAAGAAATATGAACCAAAGTGGGCCCACTCTGGAGACGATATTTGCCTTGGATTGAATCTGCACAAGCCAAGCACAACATTCAAGAATTCCACGCCAACAGCAATCAGTATAGATACATCTCTGTTGCGGCAGTGTCCTAGGAGCGTTGGAGATGTCCATCCGCTTGTCTTCAAGGTAGATTGGGAGGAGTTCAATACACGCCAAACCCCTTGCTACACGAGTGGGCAACTCCACAAAAACCTCTGATTATGATCTAATTATGATCTCCCTCCCAGTCCCCACAGGCTGCAGTCAAATTTGGAGCCATTACCACCTCAACACGTTCAACCCTGCAAAATACAACACCTGCATTTGTCTGTTCACAAATACTGTGGTGCATTCTACCAAGACGATAGTACACTACTGATGGGCGATGCTGGGTGTGCCTCTGTGAAGACTTAAATAAATGGAACTTCGATCACACGATTGTTAGCCATGAAGGTATGGTAGCCCACCAATGCCCCAGCAACTGTTTGTGGTTGATTGCAACAAAAGCTCTTGATTGCCATTCCTCACACCTGGTGCCTCCCAGTACGCGAATCTGTGAATGAGATTTTGACAAAAACCTGTTGATTCCTTGCATGATGCTTGGTGCAAATTCCCCCCCTGGCCTGCCCTTCCACAACCAGGCTGCACCCAGGCCAGCAACAGAGCCTTGTCCCTCGGAACAGGCTTCCGCCATCCTGCGACCTTCAGTCAATTGTGCAGAGTTCCTGCGTGGAGCAAAATACACCGATGGGCTCTCCTTGGACAACTGCACCTGGCTCCGAAGCCACCACAGTGGATTGATACCTCTTGGCAGTGGCACCTGTTGACAAGCAGCATCCTGTATGCATTCTACCAGTCTATGGAAAGCCCAAACACTCGCTGCAATGTACCAGACATGAGAAACAGGACATTGGTAAAACCGACCACAAAATAGCACTGTAGAACCCTAGTACTACTAGCTCTTCCAGACGACAGGATGAAAGAATCAGCACCAAAGCAGTTGACTTGTCCCCAGCATACTTGACAACAACTGACTGGTGGATGGATTATCCAGTTGGGGCTAGTTTCTTTAGCAAGACTTTCAGTGTACCTCGAGCCTCAGCACACCGCTCCTGTAGACTCCAGCACTTTCCACAGTGCCCTCAACACCCTTCTTCAAAACTTTGACTGCTTCAGCTAATGATGTCTATAAAACACAGAAACCGAAACCTCTTAGAGCCACATGCAGACTAGGCCGACCTGGCCTCACAGTCTGCCCTGATGCCCGGCATTGGGGTGCTCATTGGATCTTAGGACTTGGAAACAAACCTCCCCACCAGCATGTGCCACATGTGCGATGGGAAAGGCTGAACTTTTTTACTCTTGCACCATCCTTCCTTGAGTTTGAACGTGTCCTTGGAAGCCCATTTCCACTGACAACAGTTCCATGTTTGTCTGCTGCTGAACAAACCAAACAGCGGATGAAACAATGCAGCGCTTCTTGCGAACAGTGCCTTTCATTGATACACTGAAAGGCAAATGTGCTGTCAAGGATTGGCTCTTATCTAGTGCATGAGTCACATATCTGGCCACTGGTACTACAGAAGGAAGACACAGCTACATATGCAAGTCTTGTTCTACACAGAATGGCAAGGGAACTTCAACATCCTTACAGCAACCTTGCAAAACGTCGCTCGCATTCCATTGAGCTTCCGTTATCTCAACAAGGTCAACAGTGCTGATGTGCTGGCTTTGCTAGAGTCTCACTGCACCTCGTAGGCGGGTTTATTGCTGAGCGATATTTATTTGTCTGACTGGCTCGATTCTTCTTCCTGACACATGGGCTGTGTTGATGTTGGTCAATGGGTGTCAGTTGCATGTTGCTGTATGATGGGAAGATCCCACCAGCAGATGCTCTTGAGAAATGCAAGCAATACAAGTTCAACAGCCAGCCTTACATATCTCAGCCCCATCATTCTGCAACGCACGAGCAGCAGCACCCAAAGTGCAAGCAACATGGGCATGAAGTAAACGACGGCAAGAAGCACTTACGACTGCCTGCAGCTGTTCAACGTGGCACAGAGCAACTTGAGTGCCATGAAATTGTCCATCACTGCTACCAGCGTCCTTTTCTCGATCAGGCGCTGGACAAACCCAGGAGTCCTTAGCAGCTGAGCGTGCAAAACTGCCTTGATGGCCAGGATCCTTCTTTGCTGCAGCTGAGTTGCTCCTCAGCTGAGAGATATCTCGAGCAGGAAGGGGTGCTCTGCCCATACAATGCCTAGGACAGCCCACTGTCCGAGACTGGGTGCAGAACTGCCTGTAGACACAGAGGTGGTGGAAAAAACAGACCTGAGCCATGGGCTTTTCAAAGAAATGGCCTGCGTGCTTCACTGTGGTCCACAGTCGGATTGCTCAACACCATTGTACACCCATTTTGACCTCTGGGCACAACAGTCTGCCGACAGAGGGCAGGGATGATATTTGACAAGACAGAGCTCCTAGACAGGACGAGCATTTTGCACAGGGAAGTGGTTATTGACCTGCCATCTGCATGTGAGGTGCTATTATAATCATGACATACAGCACCTGGCGATGTTTACAGCTATCAGCCTTCTCTGCAGACATCCAATCCCAAGACACCTGCAGTCAGCTTGTGTGCCGATCTGCCACCTTACAGTCACATCACCTCCACAATCCATGCTAGGTGTTTGCAAATGAGAGTTGTCAAATTCTTGTGGTGCAACTTGAAGTTTGTTGAGACATTCGAGACAACATCCCATATCATACTGCTGCCAGCAACATTCCTTCGTCTACAACTGTGCTTTAATAACAAACGGTCCGATTCTACATTGTCGACCCAGATGCCGGCAAATATATGGGAAAGCGGAAACATCGCATCTGCGCGGCGAACCACAATGCTGCTCACCGTTTTCGTCGCGAAGGCTGCAGGGGCGCGACCTGGTGACATGATGGCCCTGAAACACACGGCGCCCGTCCTCTACAACGTGCGCATCCGCGAACGCACCCCACCATCAACTCGTTCTGCCTCAACTGCCCACTCCGCCATTCCATTTGGAAGCCGAGGATCGTGCAACACGACACTTGTCTGCACCGACGGACAGGTGGAATCTGCCGCTGGGACTGCGCTTCTTATTCGTTTCCGAAGTCACAGCGGATGCCGTGCCGGGTACTGATTGGAACAATGGCAGTCATGTCCCGCGCGTCTCCTGGCGAACATCGCCCTTCAAATCCCGCGACATGAGCGCCCTTGTCAGTGAGGTGGGGCCCTGCTCGACTCCCAGACCCTCTGCGAACCAGGAACAGGAAGGAAGCGCTTGGGCTCGAGGGGCCGTCAGCCTTCCTATTTGCGAAGTCGCCTGGTTGCGATGGGACGGACTGAGATCCGGGCTCGCGGGTCAGTGACAACTTGGCCACGTGGCCACGGTCTACCTGTCCAGTCTTGCCTCAATCGGAACCCGCAGGCCATTTAATGCCTCAAAGGCGAGCGACAGGGTGGCGATGTTGGCGATGTTTGTCGCATCAAAGGTACGCAACAAGAAAATCAACAGGTTTGCATGTTCCCATCCATTCACAACCATATACTCTTGTGATACACATGTCGGGCCCCGGGACATCTTGTGCGCGATCATCTCCAAAAGGTGCGCCTGTTCCCAACAAAGGACCTGTTGAAGAGCGCGCCGAGAGGACGAAATTGGAGATGTCCCGCCGCTTTGCAGGCACATCGCTGGTGATTCACCCACGAAATGCGGGCACAAGCGCGCCATAGGCTGTGGACGTTCAGCCGCATACAAACCAAAAGATATGGGCAGAAACGCCGACAAAACCGCAGCGGTTGGCGCAGATTCACTCAGAACCTCGTGCGACTCGAGCGATGAGAATGTCATGGGAGCGCCATGCCGAAATCCGAGGGATGGCACCCAAAACCGCTGGAGTTCAAGCCAAACTGGTGGGGCTACACGCCACGACGTGTGTGCCAAGGGCACGAACTCAGAGAACACCAACAAGGTACTTGCAGCTGCATAGACTCTGTTCGTTCCGTTGCATTCCCTCCAAAAGCGGGCAGCGCGACATTGTGGCGCCCCGCATTTCGCGGCAACCACCCAAACACCCTATCAGCCTAAAAGAGAAGATACAATCAAATCCGACTAAACCTCTATCAGGTCGTGTCCAAGCATAGGAGTTCACATGCTACTCACTCCCACAGAACCCCACACTCTACTATTCATATCACATCCGCGCAGGCTTTGATAGGTTTTACAGCATGCCTCCATCACCGTTACATGACCCCTCTGCAACATTAACGTGACCATTTTTTCAACCCTTGGCCACCTATCCTGGACATACGCAGCGCCACACGGAAATCTGTTCCAAAGCCCCCCAAAGCTCATAGAAGTACTCTTTCGCAGCCACGGCTCTCATCTCCCCTTTCCAATACTGCAACGAACACTTCAAAATAATGGTATCGCGTCCAGCCACGCCACACATCAACCCATGGATCCTTCTGATTCAATCAAAATACTTATCACACTGTGACACAATTGCCATGCTGCTCATGCAGCGCATCTGCAGCAAATGTGTCCTTGATTTTGTATGACCAGATAACTGCCATCCTAAACGTTTCTGCACTCAACAGATCATATTGTCATTCCGGCTGTCATGCACCATGGAAAATGAAATAAAACACATCAAACATGAAAGTAGAAGAGAGGTGACATCCCATGTCCATGCAGCCCATCTTGGATCATTTTCACACCATTCTGGCGCTGAAGCTCAAGTCAATTGAGACGGCCGTCTCGCAGCAGTCGTTGAGGAGTCAAACAAGCGACATGTCGACATCGTGGCTCATCTCTGATCCATGAGTTCGGGGGTCATGTCTTGAGTCGCAGTTCAATTCTGAATTCAATGTACTGACGTGGTATATGTCCACAGCTGCGTGCATACTTCGCCGCTCTGGGGCATGGCTCAAATAGTCAATGATGACGTTCATTGGCCCTTGTTGTCAATGATCTAATCTTCACTGCTCCATCCCTGTCCGCCACGGCCACCCCTTGTCCCAAGTTCCTGATTGACAAACCCTACCTGACAATTCCCGTTGATCCTATTGGGTTGTTTGCAATCTTGAGCTGCACTTGCATCACTGCACTGCATCCCTTACTCGACGCTCAAGCCCGCAGCCTGGCATGTCAGCTTTAACATATTACGCATTTTGGTAGTGCAGTGCCCCTCTGATATTAGAATGCTGCATGTCACGATGATGTATCGGTCAGGCGCATTATTATGTTGACTCTTGCGTCGATTGGTTGCACTGATGTAGTCTCCCTCTACTTGTACCTTTGTCAACAACATGTTCGCCATCATTCTGGGCCTTTGGTGATTGTTCGTAAGGCCTATCCACTGAATTGTGGACCACACGTGGCGCTAGCTCTTGTGATGATCATAATCATCTAAATTTTAATGGAAGTTATAATTTGCGACCCGGACAATACTCCGACAAGCACAGTATCTTTTCGTAGCAGGTGGCTCTCATCCAACAGACATGGCCGACCCAGTGTCTAGCTCCCACTCTTTTGCCCTTTAGACCACCTGAAACACCAAAGCAGCCCTGAAATTTGGGCGCTTCTTATTATGAAGCCAGGGAAAGGGGGGTGGGGGGGCAGTCATTGACAGTAATAGCGTTAATGGCTGGCCCCCACCAAGCAACACCCACCCACCCTACCCTATCAAATACCACGGTTCAGCATAATAGCACAGTGCATAGAAATAAAGCTGTGGCATCTGGCTGACCCAAGCCATCCGATATTTGGTCACTTCAAGAACACAATACTTTAGATGATGTATTAAAGTTTCAAGTTGTTTGGAGATATGAAGTTCGGACTTTGAAGAGGACAGTGATTCTTGCTTGATCTCACACATCCATGGCAGAAAATGCCACACGAAGTGATGAGAATAATGCTTCAAACACTGAAGCGGTTGCTTTTCTGGTGGTTTCAAGAGGTACTTGTGAACCGCTTCTGAGAATGAGCACTTGTTTATTCTTTGGCAGCTGATACATAGGGCAATCTGTGTAAGGACAGCCGATTCGTGATTCGGCACTTGGGTGATGGTGAGCTTACGATCTTGTGAGTTGGGACATGGTGAGCTTGGCAAACTTGACAAGCGTTCAACAGCATTTCTCTTGTGCAATCGGTGGCAAATCACGTTGAGAGTTGCAATCCTATCAGGCATAAGGACACTGCTTTGCCTTGTCTTGCAGTTTTAAAGAACTGCAGCAAGGCTGACAGGCAATTGGTGAAGTTGTTGTGTTTGCACCGCAGGATTTTCATAACCTGAGAAAGGTTGCACTCCAATAACAGTGGCAATCCGCCCAATCAGCAACACAGAATTTCCAGGTGTCGTTTGGTTGTCAAAGTGGCGTGCATAGTCAGTAGTTTGTTATTCCAGAAGCGGCCAGGTTGCGGTAGCAAGTTAATTCAAGTTACACCGATTCCATGGGCATGCAAGGCACGCATTGCTCTAATAACACCGCGTCTCATGCCATGCACTTGGATGTCGGAACATCGCATTGTCTCTGTCCTTGCAGAGGCGCCCCCCGCAGAACTTCTCCATGTTGCTTCTTCTTTCGACACTACTAGAGTTATACACCCAAAACTGAACAGGGGGCTCGCCCTGGACCATTTTTTTGCTGTCTCGCTTCCAAAGGAATGTGGACCTTGCAACAAGCCATCCATGGTCAGCTGATGCCGATTCAGAAGTCCTCATCCGTTGTCAGTACATAGTCGCCCCGCGAATAGCCCGGCGAGCTCAGGTTGGACCCCTTAGTCCCGCTGAATTGGTACTCAACTGTCGCGCTCCCGGCGTGCTCCTCCCCTTCGAATGGGTTCCTGCTCAAGTAAATTCTCCGGTGCCCCAGCCCCTCCAATAGCTCGTCCGCCAGGAACTCGACATAGCTGGACGAACTCTCCTCGCCGATTCCAATAGCCCCCAGACTGAAGGCTTCCCGAACGAACTCCTTCTCGAGGCTGACGGCCTCCTGGACGATCAGGCGTGCCGCCCGTTCTGTGAGCCGTGTGTCCAGCATGCCGTACAACATGCAGTTGAACTGGGCCTGCAGATCCCTATCGCGGCAGATCAGGCCGCTGGCGTGCGTCAGGGCCGGCATTGCCCCCCGTCCCTTCAGCCACGCGCCGAAGAAGTTGCGCGCAAAGTTGACGCTCTGGATGCATCCCAAAGCCACGATGCGCTGAGGGAAGGTGCTGCCTGGGCCCATCCACCGTGCGGCCCAGTCCGCTTTCTTCTGGAGGCTCGTGAGGCGCCTCTTGCGGGAATCTGTTTCATCAGGGAAATACTGACCCAGGAGCTTGCCGTACAGCTCGTTGTGGACGTTCTCAATTGCGAGCTGGAAACCGTAGAATGCCCGGGCCTCTGCAGCCATGACATCTGTGTGCCGATTCAACACAGAAACATCAGGAACCGTAGAAAAGTAAAGCAGTAGACACACGAAATAGCCCATCTCCTCGACAAGGATGGGGTTGATATCGACCCCCGATCTCCCCAACACGAAATTGGCGGCAAAACATCTTGCAGTCAGCCAGGGCGATAGGCTCATGTGGCGAATGCAGAAATAGGAAGCAGGTGCTGAAGCAAATGTACCTACATTGTACCTGTCATGATCCCCAACACGACGAGATTCGCATCAAAACATCTTGCGGGTAGAAGGGGCAATAGGCCTGCATGGTGAATGCTAAAGCAAGAAACAGATGCCAAAGCACAATACCTATTCAGTACCTGTCATGAACTTGAGTGCGATGCTTTGAAGGATGGCAGCATCTGAGCCACCCAGAACTCCCACAATATCCTTCACAAAGCTTCTTTCGTCACCTGCAAACGTAACAGAAGATAAATCAGCGTTCATTTCGTTTAACTGGACAAAACGATAGCCAAAAACATGCCATGTGCACTCAAGACCATAGAATGCAGTACTCTTCACAAATCGCTAGCACAGTTTTCCAAGGCTTTCGAGCAGTGCCATCATCAGGGCCCCACCAGAAAGCAGATGCCAATCGCTGCTGTCCGCTTGCAAGTCGATGTCCTCAACCGTCCAGAAGTTGCTGAGTGCTGCCTTGTAGATGTCCCACACTCTTGGGTACCTGCAGCCATTTCAAGCTTCCTTACAGTATGCACCAGTGCGCAAACTGGAAACTGGCGCTCATCTCTCACAAGTGAAAACATTTGTGGTGCTATAACAGGTGTCTGTACATGTTGCCCCCAGCCGGTACTTGACTGTGCAGCACCTGGTCTCAGGCCTTAGCAAGTGCATGCATCCATAGGCAGTGCAACACAATGGTGAAGTCAAATGCTGTTGTTGAGTTCTGATATAGAAAGAGCATCAGACTGTGACAATCGACAAACCCATCTCAAAATGGTCATATCAGGTCCAGGCCCATATTGCCAAGAGGTAACGTCTCACCTCAGTGGGAACATGCAAAACCTGTTGCCTTCTTCCTGAAGGAGAGGTTCAGCATAATCTTCGTGCTCGATCTGCGCTTCTTTCCCGAAGGAGTCTTCACTCGTGTCTTCCTTGCTCTGTTCCTCTTCCTTCTCAAATTCTGGATTGTCAAATTCAAGTGCGACGGATTCCCTGCACGATGTAGACTCGGTCTCTTGATTCGTAGCGAATCCCGAAGATGTGGACTCCGTCTCTGGACTTGTTGTGCAGACAGACGATGTGGACTGGATCTCTTGAATAGAAGTGGAACTGGACGGTGTGGACTCACTAGCTGGCGACCAGGCACTTATTGCTTGGCTGCTGCTCGTTGGTGTGGAACACTCGTACACGTCCAGGGTCGGATCCACACGTTGGAACCCCAGCAGTTCCAGAGTCGCCGACAGCAGCCTGCCAGTATGTTGGAGCGCGTCAGGCCTCAGCACAACTCACGAGGGGACGCATCGTGCAACCGAAAAACGCGCGATCATCCATTGGCGGGCAATTTGAATTTGAAATTTGAAATGGAGCAGAGGTGCGTCTGGTCACAAGAGTCGCTCACAGCCGAGCTCTGCCTCATATGGGATCCAGTCAACGCACTTTATCGCGGAGATGGCAGCCGTGCGGACGCCATCACCAGATGGCTTTGCGGCAGGATGACATTTCACCGTAAGGTGGGAGTGCTTGGGAGCGACAGGAAATTTACCTTGAAAGCAGCGCCATGGGCGAGAACGCGGAAGCACGGTCGCCGATCGCACGCTTGGGGCCTTTGGGAAAGGGCGCGACGGCCTTGGCCTTCACAGTCGAGGGGGAGAAAGGCGGCAGCCATGGTTCGCCCGCCTCCATGCCAGCCATCGTCTCGATCGGGGGTACCGGAGTCCAGTGGGGTGCGCCCTGTGCGGCGCGCCGTAAGGCAGCGGTGGCGGACTACTCGGACCGGCACAGGAGGCTGCAGTCGCCAGCGCTGGGCTGCGAGCCGCGGCGGGTTTGCAGTGGCTGTGGCTTTGGTGAGGCCAGTCTCGACCCGGGGCTATTTGAAGCACTGCGTGCCAGCACCGCGTTTCTGGCACCCCGCAACGCATTCCAAACATTCCAATTTGGTTTCGCTTTGCTTCAGTACTGGCTGATTGATTGGGCAATGGCGCACATTGGCAAGGTCTCTTGCGGCCGCGCGGGAGCTCCACAGCACCGCAGCGGGCTCGCACGCAGGCAGCACCGCCGCGCGCGCAAGGCTAGCGGCTCTGATGCGCGGCGCGGTGTGTTTTGGCAAACGCGCAACTCGACAGCTTCCGTTGGCAGCTCCCCAACCCGCTTGTCCAGCCCTCAGTAAGGGCCGTTGTTGTGCCCAATCACCTGGACGGCTGTCAGCTTGGGCGGAGCTCCCGCGGACACGAATCAGGCAGCGGACGGGCGCCGACGGTGAGCCATGGTGAGGAAGAGGCATTTCCGCGAGATGGAGCCGTGGGCGCGTGTGGACAAACTGATGGCGGGGTCCGCGCGGTTGGACGAGATGGCGGAGGACCAGAGGCTGGGCAACGCGTTCTACGGCGATTGCGTGTTTGAGCCCAAGGAGAGGGCGCAGAGGACGCCTGCTTTCTACGCTGGGGTGAACTATGTGCCTCTGGGATCGCACGGTGAGACAGGGTGCGGTGCGCACATGCTGTTGTTGCATTCGGCAAGTGCACTGACGAGCCCAACGGTCAAAAAATTCCCCATCTTGGTGCCTCACGGACGATTTTGGACTGTAGAGGCATGCGAGGAAATCCTTCATGCAAAGGCACCAATTGGCTAACGAACATGTTCCCCCTGCCAAACCCTCACTGACTTGAGACAATTCTGCAACTCAGATTTTTGTATTGGAAACAAGTGATGTGCGGTAAGGCTCAGGGCATTTCAAGATATGTTGTTGTGCTCTGTACTGCGAAGCATTGTTGGATTGGTGATTTGCTGGTTGTCAAGGTGCCAGTTGATCCGCACTGCCTGGAAGAAATTCGGCCAAAACGTATGTGGACATTTGTTGCTTGTATGTTACAAGCTGGCCAAAACTGTGGAGCATTGGAAGAGCCCCTTCCCACAAGCACTGGGTTGGCCCTATCCTGCGGTTAGTATAGCATGTTCGCTGTGCTCGTTTGATGACGCCGCTCTGTATGTGTTTGCCATCATACGACTGTGACATGCTGAACATTATCAACACATCTGGTACAATGAGCATGGGTGCTTTGTTGGCGCCATGGGCATGGTGTGCTGGAGCTCTCTGCCGCTGATCATCAGTTGTGTCGTGTGTTGTGCTCAGTTGAACAGCCCCCACAACAGCAAATCACATACCTACCACCCATTCGTGTCACCCCAAACCGCCCCCAGTGCGAAGACATACTGCAGGCCATGACAGCTGAGACCCGTATATCTGAGGAAGAGATGCAGCTAATAACGGAGGCGCAGAACCTGGGGTGGTCCTGGACGCAGATTGCACATGTTTTCAAGGGGCGAACTGCTACACAGTTGAAGCGCATTTTGGGGGTGCCTGGCAAGGCCAAAAGATCCAACAACTCCAGGAGGGAAGGAGAAACGAAGCCAAGTGCTTCAGTTCGTGAAAGGGGAGAGAAGCAGCGGCAGGAGCAAGCACCAAGGGGGCCTGCATCCGCAGATATGGCTCAGGCCGGTGGTGCTGCAACATTGCCATTCACAAAGAAGCCAGTGGAGAAGAAGGATGTGGTGAAAGGAGGACAGGGAGAAGCCAAAGGAAGTAGGTTGTACCATAGTGGTCATATGTGTTCCTGTAGAAGTATCCCATACAGTGCATACTGTTTCGCATTGCAGTGCTACATGTGCTGCCATCAGCAGCAAATGAAATGGAAAGCAGTACACATGCACGGAAGGCAACAACATGTTAGCAGGAAAAAGCTTATCATATGTGCTTGTTCATAACAGGAACACAAGTTGTCCATCGACAATAGACAGATAGGACCACCCTGAAGATTGTGAGTCGGAGATGGAGAAAGGAGCAACAGTGTTTGTTGTGTGGGGGGTGGTGTGCATATGTGCTAAATGTCCACAGGACAAGAAACGAGCATAGCTGAAAATGTGGAAACAGCTCGATTTTGTCCCATGTCTGCCATGCAACAGTGGAAAAGGGGACAACAGTGCAAATGGATTTATTAAGTCACACGAACCAGTGTACGGCAATGTGTATGCTGTTGTTCTATAATACTGTATCAGAAACTCAAATTTGTTGTTCACTAACCATCTCTAGGACAGCCAACAATGTCCTTGTCCAAGATCCATCAGCGCCAAACAAAGTCCAACAACACCCTCAACAATAGTTGAGGAAAGAAAACAAACCCATGAGGGTATGGAGAATACCACTTCCCAGGGGGCACACTACAAACATGTAGATCCCCACACCCACTCGTAATCCCAATAATTTCCAGGCCCACAGGTACGCCCCCCCTCCGATCTGGGTGCATGGGTGTGTGTAGAGATCTCTTTGAAAATGTAGGAAAGGCTTTGGAGCACCCCCCTGGCAATAATAAACTGGGGTCTTTCCAGGTTTTGCGGGAGTCACTGGCAGCAAGATTGGAACACAAGCAAGGCGCACAATAGAAAGCTGCGAAAGAAACCCTCTACCCGATGTACTCCAGAAAAACATGATAGGAGACAAGTTTGCCACTTCTTTTGCAGCAGCAGCATTCATTGCAACAGGACAGCACAATATCAGGTTGTCCAACAAGAAACCAAAGAGAATACCCCAAGGCAAGCTATGTGCAAGCGTGTTTGTATTCCATGAAATGCGTTTGAGCAGTGAACCTGCCAATTGCAATGCTGGTACACTTGGGACCAAATGTACCTGGCTGTTTGTGGCAGGAGAGGAGCATGAACGGCATGTCAATGCACACGCAACGAATCGTGCTGGTGGTGACGATCGCGTTACGCTAAAGCGCCCACTTGCCAAACCACCAAAAGGCTTCTCTGGAATTCGGGAGCATGGGTTAACATCCATGGAGAATGTCAAGTTCTATGAGGAGGTCGATGTCATTGATCCAGATGATCCCACAAAGGTGTTCAACTTCAATTTGAATGGTGGGTCCTGGAATTCATGAGTGTCAAAGAGTTCGCCAAATCACTGTGCAGACTGCAAACATACCAAGTCAGGCTGCATTTCAGGAATGAGAAATGCTGAATTGTGCAGAAACCTGGTTTCTGTGTGATGTTAGGTGGACATTTCAATGTGTGGTATTTCGATGCGTTTCATGCTACCCAACAGCTTGGGTGATGGTTGTCACAGCCACAGAGTGCCGTATATTTGTGGAAATTTGCCACATGCTGAAATTTCTGCATTGTGCTGCAACTGAATCTGCTCTTGAGCTTGTGTCTGCTTTTGTGCCTCCAGATCCTGCACACTGTGCCTGCTTCAACATTGGAGTTGGGGAAGATGGCAGCCCACTGCTTTCTTGGTCAGATTTGTACTCATTCTATGAACTTCCAGATGGCACAAAATGGGCAGAGCACGGCTATTTGTATGATGCAGAAGACCTGGTGAGCGATGTCGTGCACAGCTGGATTGCAGCGATCGCCGATCTGTTCTCGGTTTCCAGAATTTGGTTGTGGTGCATCTCTAGGAACTCGAAGAGCCGATGCATCGGTCCATTTGCTCACTTTCAGACTTGCTGCCAGTGTTTGGTCACGGGCCATTTACTGCCACTGTACTTATATCAAGGCGTGGTTGTGAAACCCAAAAGGGTTGCACATTGGAGCACCCCTTCATAGCAAGACCACGTTGGGGGCACTTTTTTGGGCTGGGGGAGGCATAGAAGCCAAAGGCAACAAGAGTGAAGCCAAAGACAAGGTGCATGCCATAAGGCAACAAGCATATGCTCAATGCAGATGTCCACGTGGATTTGCACCGTGGGCAGATTCATGCATCAGAACTCATAGCAGTGCATCAAATATGTGTGCATGTGTGTTGTGTATGAATAGGAAGAACATGCAAAGAAGATAGGAAAGAGCTTTCAACACTTGCCGCCAGCCAACATGCATCCGAGGCAGCTGCTAAAAAAGGGAGGACGATATCACAGCAAGCTTCAAAACACTGAATTCGAGGTGGGACAGTCAGCATGCGACTGTGGACTTGGTACAAATCTTCTTGGACTGTGCAGCGATCCTCAAAGTTGGTGTAATTATCTTGTCACTGGGCAACAAAAGGGCTTCAGTGACATTGTGGGCTGATGGGCATGGCCCTTCGACCACAGTCTTGCCCATCTCCAAGGAAATCCTGAATGCTCCAGCACTCAGTATCAAGTACTTGAGCATGAAGGCAGCCCCAGTATTGCATGCCAAGCAGCAAGCCCAATAGCAGCACCCCGCTTGGTGAGTACTATGTGATTTGGCTCGGTGTCAATGCAAGGTAATCCAGGCCTGTAATTTGTGGATTTTGAGGGAATGAATCTAGACATTGAAGTGCCGAAACTCCTCTTTCTCCACTCTGCTGTACTGTGACACAATCGCCACTTACGAATTCGTTCATGGAGGCACTGACAACATTGCTCTTTTGTGAGTGCAGTGCTGGATTTATCATGGAGAACTGCCTAAGAATCTTCCAGCAAATCAGTAAGTACAATGGCTTTGAGTAGAAACAATCTGTTGAGGTTCGTTTGCCACTACTTTAAAACAAGGGACGTAGCTCAAGCTTCACGAGTTGAGATTGCTGGTTCACTTCCCAAACGAGATTCCTTCCATTTGAAGCCAGGAGCAGGCATGGCTTGCAGCCTTTGGTGTAAGCTTGCTCGGCCACATTAACGTTGGAAGACGCTATTAATGTTGCCACTGTTGTGGAGGAGAGGGAACTGGTTGCAGATACTGAGGCTCAGCCCTGTTGGGGCATGTCCTGTGCCAGCCACATACTGATGTGGACGCGTTCAGACTCCATGTTACAAAAACCTATCAGTTTTGAACTTGAATTGATGCCAGACTGGTCCTCTTGGTTCATTGTCCAATCTTGAAAGAAGGACTTGTAGTGGGCACAACTTCGTGTAACATTGTGATGCTGGCTTGCCTTTGTTCCTTTCTTCCATGGCACTGTTATGCCCCAGGCCAATGGTATGGTGGATCATCCCGGCAAGCTTTACCTGCTGAAGGATTGGGCATATGGTTCAGCATCTGACAAGAACCATAAGTTTATGGAGCAGGGTAGCCAATTTGAGTTGCTGTTTGTGTCCACTGAACAGGCAGTGACTTGTATGAAGAATCGCTGTGCTGGCACTGCAAGTTGTTGTGTATTCTGGTATGCTCTCACCATTTCCAGGTGTTGCAGTGCGGTCATCGATTGGACGCTTTCCCTCTTGTCTGCAGCTCTGTGTTGTTCTGGCTGGAGTGATCATCAAAGATTGACTCGGTTTGGCGACTGTCGCTGCAGGGATGCATACTTTTGGACAACAATGTTTGATCCACAAACACTGAAGATAATAGAAGAGGTTGATATTGGGGGTGTGGGGCAGGACGAGGCGGCGAAGAATCAAACATAGATAGTTGTTCTGAAGCATATTTGTCAGAGTTGTGTTGCTGCTTTATGTGTGCCATACAGCGCCTCCGACTTTGCGTGGAAACCACAGAGTGTGATGGATCACAAGCAGCGATCGTGTCTGTGGTACTTGATCTTTCCACGGCCGACAAGAAAACATAACGCCATATTATCTGTCGGAGTCAGGTCTGGCAGGGTAGTTTCACCGTATGCAAATCCCGCTGGAGCAGGCTTGGGGGAGCATCCGCCACTGTTTCAGCATGGCATAGCGTTTTGATGGCAGAGCTCCTTCTGCTGGTCCCAGAGAATCGTAGAAAGAGTATGACCACACACGTGCACACTTTGCCAGTTGTGTTGGCTCCATACATTGCGGGTTACTGTGGCACCCGGTGATGACTGAGGCTCAGTCTTTCTACTGAAGGGAAGACGAACAGTATGAATGTCCTGTTCGGGGTGTGGCGCTTCTTTCATCCCTGACTGACACAAGCAAATGGTACTGCCAGACTGCACGATTGGTTTTTTGACATTATTTTGCTGTCGGCACGATGGTTCTGATACGATGCATGGAAAATGGTGACCACGTGGACGTCGTAGGCCAGTTGAGTTGAAGCCTGCTTTGCTGAAATTTGTTCTCACAAGACAAAGCAGACCTTGCACCTATCAGCTTGCATCAGCTACATTTCACAATCACCAGCGTGCATGCTCACAATTGGCTTAGCTTGTGTTAGGCCAAATTACTATGCACAAGATTGTTGAATCATCGTTTTGTTTGGGTACCTGTGTGGGTACTTGTGTGCTTGTTTACCTGTGGGAATGCCAGGTAACAGAAGCTTGTTTTGTCAAGCATACTTCATGCGTATTGGTACTCCCCACAAAACGACCCATGCGCTCGATGCTGACACAAGCATTTGACTGCCAGCGATTGGAACATTGCTGCTTGCTGCTATAGGTATTCTTCGTTGCCCAATGCACTCACTCTTGTGTGAATGTTGCATTGACACAGCTGTGTAGAGATGTCATTCATGTGCACCTCGACAAACACCACCACCGTGTCCAATTTCTTATTCTATAGGGTAGTGGCTATCAAGCTGTTCAGGAATCGCATTTCAAGGAACACCAGAACTGCCATCGTTCCACATGTGTGTAGCTTACAAAAGGATCGTCTAGACAAAGACATTCACCCATCATCATCATGACCCAGCCAGTGGTCCTGCCAGTGTGGTTGCCACACACCGAGAAGTGTACACCTGGGGAGCACAATACCGTCGGCAAGGGGCATGGCAAGGCGTGCACACTGCCGCAGCCGCCGAACACAGACCTGAAAAGTGTTTAACATCGAGTGTGGCCATTCCGGTTGTGCCAGAAGCCAAGGCTGCAGAAGGGCGTCTCGAGCGAACCGCCGCGGATAGCGGTTCCACTATCGCGCGCATTTGGCCAAACACCTCCCCGTCCTGCACACAAAGACAGACCTTGCAGCACACTGGCTCCTCACACAACCTCTCCGACCCCATCCCGCCCACCCCTCATGCACGACCGAATGCTGGCAATCCCCGCAGCCCAAGCCCGCGCTCGGCGCCCAGCTATTCACCCGCGTTTCCCGAGGGATCGCCGCGCGGTGCCCCTCCGCCCTCCGAGCTCCTCGCCATCAGCTGCCGCCCTCCGCCTCCTTTCCTCCCGAGGACTCCCCCGCGCCGTTGGCGCCCTCCAGGGGCGGCGGCTCCTCGCCGTCGTCGTCGCTGTCCTCGTCCCCCTCCCCCATTCCGTCCATGCCCGTGAAGTTTTCGATCGCGCTCAGGTCGAAGGGGTCCTTGCTGTCCTCCATGTCGTCCTCGTCCATCCACTTGTTCCAGTCCACCTTCAGGTATGTCAGCTTTCCCGCTTTTCTTTGCAACCGGTCCCAGTAGCCCGCCTCTTTCTTGAAGATGACCACGAAGACGTGCCTGGGGGTCGCGCTGATCTTCGTCTCCTCCGGCTTCACCTCGCCCGACAGCTCCAGCTCGAAAGCATACTTTTCGGCGCCCTCCGGCCCGGCGACGCTCCCCGAGAATTTGAGCACGCCAAACTTGTCAGTGTCATTGTTTTGGACGTCCACCTTGGGAGCCTGGCAGTCCTGCAGGTCGATCGTCACGTACAGGCAGTCCTGTCGCTGCGCCCACAGAACGGGGGGGTGCGCAACGGCCTGCGCCATTCTCTTCCGATGGAATCAAGCCGAGATCTCGAGTTTGGGGATGCCTGCCGGAAGGGCAGCGACTTCGGGCGGGCGTTGAGCAGCCGCTTGAGCCGTGGCGGAGCTGGGCGTCCGCTCTCGTGTGTCGAGAGGCAACGGGAATGCGACCCAAAGAAGCTTCGACGGCCTTCGCCTACCCAAAACCTGTTTGCGGGTTGGAATCGCAAGCCGTTAGTATGCCGTTGCGCGTTTTTTCCCTCAGGATTGCGTTTTTTTCCACGCTCGGTGATTTGGTTGTTTCCGCCTGACCTGTCTCCTGAACCCACCCGGTCATGTTCCCCACACGACAAGGCATTTGCAACTTTATAAAAAAGGTGTCCGTCACCATCGTCTCCAAATACCCGCGGTCACTGTACCTAACGGTTTGCCCTTTCGCTTTGCACACACTTCACACCACTTTTCTCCCGTTACCCAGCCCTGAGTCCGCCCCCTAGTCCTGTACTTCCTTCCTCACCTTCCCTCTATCTCCCTCAACTAAACCGAACTCCACTTTCTAGGGCCGGAGGCCCGGGTGCGAAACAAGATAGGAGGGGGATCCAGGGGGAAAGCCTATAATAGCCGCCCGCGCTCAGCCCCGCGCCAAAGTTCCAAGGGCGCCAAACTGACGGCACCTTGGAAACTCCGTACTTTGACCGCCCCAAGGTACTAGAGGGGCCAGAAACCCGTTTGAATTCAACTGCTACCATTCTGAATAATCGGCGCAGCCCTCCCAAAGTCGTCCTTGGCGGAAACATATTAACAAGATAGGTAATTGTGTTTTCAGCTCCATTGGCAAATTGCAAAAAATGACCGTGTGAGCTATTGCAACCTGTGAAACTCATTGTTACAGATGTGTCCAGTCAATGCCTGGCAAATGAATTGCATATGATGGCTGACGTGGGGACACCACACTTGGTACCCATCAAGAAAGTTGACGTGGACAGCCACCGAGCGTTGCTACAAGGCAAAAAGCGCGCTCAACACTGCTGTTCGATTACAGCTCAATCTATTCAATTTAATGGCCATCGCTGTAATCGAGTAAAAGATGGTGGGAAAGAGTACGGACATAGTCGGCCAGTTTTCCCTTGAAACGTACTAAGATGGCTGATTTTGATAGTCCTGTCACTGCTCCGTACTCAAGCAAAAACATGTGCGCAGTCAGCTACATTCCAGTACGG